TTTTGTTATAGAGAATTTTATAGGGTATGTCTTCTAGTACCCTTGACCACAAGCGATTCCCAATATAATTCGCGGTCTTAATACTTTCAGCCCAGTACTTAATTGGAAGATTTGCATCTGCTAACAATGCTTTCATTTGTGTCTGCAAGACACCTCCCCTACGCTCTGCTACTCCGTTCTCCTGAGGCGTGGCCACATTGGTAAGCCTATGTTTAATCCCTTGGGTACGCAACCAGTTTCTTAGGGAGCTTGCCATAAACTCCCCTCCCCTGTCTGATTGAATAGAGGACACCTTTTCACCAAGTTGCCTTTCTACCCTTCTTACCCAGAACTTCAAAGTTTGGGCAACGTCAGACTTTTGCTTTAATGGATAGACCCAGCCAAATCTAGAAAAATCATCCACTAGGATCAAACAGTACTTGTTGTGGGAGACACTAGGTGGAAAAGGACCAGTTACATCAGCATGGATCAACTCCAGTGGTTTTTTGGTTTCTCTCTGGCTTGCTCTTGCTACCGGGCAAGCCCTGCTTTTAACCTCCTTGCAGATATTGCAGTCTAAGTAATTATCACAACTTTTTATGTTCTTCATCCCCCCACACAACTCCAATGTTTTGTTTAGCACCTTATAGCTAGCATGAGCCAGACGCCTGTGCAGGAGATGAATACACATATCATGGGTCGGGACATTTTGCACATTCGCAACCTTAGATTCACACTGCAGTACATACATATTAGTTCTAAGGCTAGCATTTGCCAACACTGCCCCATTTTGCTTTATCTGGCACTGGTCTCCCACAAAATTTACTTCAAAGCCTGCTTTTGCCAAATCAGGAATGCTCAGGAGATTGTTTTGCAAACTAGGCACACACAATACATTCCTGAATGTGTGTCCCAGCTGTGGGAACACAACCTCCCCCTCACAAACCACATTAGCTTTCTGGCCCGTAGCAAGACTTACATGTTTTTTGTTTGAAGCCCTAGCATCAGTTAGCAGTCCTTTTCTTTTACAAAAGGTTTGAGAAGCTCCACTGTCCAGAACCCACAGCTCTTCATTTTCTTGACCATCTGCAGACACCCAAGCAGTAGCCTCCCTCTGCTGCTTCCTGTGCTTCTGCTGTTTTTGTTGTTTTCTTGGGCAGTCCCGAAGCAGGTGTCCACTGGACTTGCAGCAAAAACACCTTTTTACTTTGTTGACCACCGGCTGGTCTGCAGCAGCTCCTCCTGGCTGTTTCTCCGGCTCCCGACACCTCTGCTCTTCCCGGCTGTTGTTCCCTCTGGGATGCTCCAACAGCTGGGCTGAGGTCATCTTTCGCTCTGCACGCCTGTCCTCCTCTGCATACAACCGTCCGGTCACGTATTCCAGAGTCAGTTTATCAGTCTCTACAGACTCTAGGGAGTTGACCAGCATATCATAGCTGTCATCAAGGGAACTCAGGACTATAAAGACTTTGTCCTCTTCCCCCACAGGCCTCCCTCTTAAGGCTAGCTCCTGGAAACAGCCTGTTAGGAATTTTAGGTGGTTTACCAGGGAGTCCCCCGGTTTCTTCCGACACCGGTACAGTCTCCTGGTCAGTGTTATCAGTGAGCCAGCCGTCTCTCGCACATGGACAGCCTTGAGCGCATTCCACGCCTCACTTGCCGTCACCTTATCAGCTACGTAGACTAGCTGGCTGTCGTCCACTCCAAGGATGATCGTAGCCAAAGCTTTCTCATCCTTTTCAAGCTGGGCCTCTGCTAGTGCCAGCTTTTCATCGTCGTCCTCATCCCATTCAGGGGGCTGTGGTGTAGTTTCCACCACTTTCCACAGGCCCTCACGCTTGAGGAAGTGTTGCATGCGGACTGACCAGATGCTGTAGTTTGTGGCCGTCAGCTTCTCCAGCAACACGCCAGTTCTGGACTGCTCCATCCCTGCAGCTCACCTCCAGCACCCACGGCTAGATAACTGCCACCTGTACTCTTACGCAGCGGAAGCGTGCTGGGCCCATAACCCTGTCGCGTATTCCACGCGGCGTTTTCAGCGAAGCACTAAGAGTTCCAGGTTTTTCAGTGCAGTCCTTTTTAATGTGAGCTATATACAGGTATTTACAAAAGAAACAGTCCATACAGAGTACTTACAAACGAATACTCTCCACGACAGCACCACCACACTACAGCACAACCACCACCCCCCATGTTAAACAGGCTTTCCTTTTTAAAACAGGTGATAGCCAATTACACTAATCACACTCCTGCTGAGTCACTCTGACCCAGCAGAGTATTGCATCATCCTGTTGAAGCCTGCAGACTTATCCAGTATCCTGCGAATCCCAACATGCACTTGCGTTTTTCCTCAGCTCTACAAACTGAGGATTGAAACTGGGTTCCTTTGTATGCAAGTCTCTATACTTACCCACTGATCTATGGCCTCTTCCTAAGTGTGTCCCTGAAATACAAATTTCTCTGTAGAGCTTGGTTGCCTGGAATGCTAAGGATCATAGGAGCTGTTAGGCCAGACAGACCTACACACCAATGGTCTGACTTGGCATAAAAGCTCTTCATACAAGAGGAAGGGATGATCCTTCCTAAAAGCAAACCGCTTAGCTTATATTCTAATCTGAAAAGTACTTAAACAGGACTGAGGCAAAAACTACCCAGTTTTTCAGATGTTTTCACAGTATGTTTAAAACCACCCCCCTACTTTCTCAGTTAATTTTTTGGCATTCTTTTTTTATATGAAAGCAAAACCCAACAGCCTATTTATTTACATTGCAATGACATGTTCTTTCATTCTTAATTGACTTCACTTGCCCTCAGAGACATCATTACATAGCCAGATCTGATTGTTTATGCAGCCTCGTTGACATCATCCCATTCACTCCGTATTCCGATAGAGTGGGATCACCCAGGCAATTAATCCAGGAAGGAAAATGACGGCTCCGTGTGAAGAGAATTGGGTGGGGGGAGGGAGATAAGTATTCACACAAAGTTTCAAGGAAATATATATATCCCACAGAATCATAATTTTTTGACCAGAAAACCAAAATGGAAGAAAGTGTGGCTGAGCCTTAGTGCTCAGCATAAAAGAGCTAAAGCAGCCTTGAATGTTTGTACAGTAACCACAGCAGCAAGATCCTGGCCAGCTCTGGGATACATTTAAGTGTTTAATAACAGCAATAATAACAAAATGGGTCAGGTTCTAAGTCAGCAAGAGGGGGCAAAAATAGAGTTGCTTTTTGATGCAGCAGGAGCGAGACAAGCCATAAAATGTGGTAGTCTCTTGCCAGCTCCTTACTGTACACAGCAGTGCCAGATGCAGTGTTATAGGGAGCTGAAACATGGGCAGCAGCTGTATTGAATATAATGGTGCTCTTTTTATTTAGGTCCCGGATGTTGTTGGACAACAACTCCCATCATCTTCAGCCAGCTTAGTCAATAGTTAGGGGTGATGGGAATTGTAGTCTTTCATCAACCAGGGACCCAAGGCTGGAAGAATGCTCGAATAGCGCACGCTCTGGGTTGAGAGAAGCAAGAGGATGGGGAGTAAATATGTGTTTTGTTAACGAAACCAGGGAAGAGTCAGAATGGTATTACATGCACAGTGCAGCTGTGATACTTGCCTAATGATAAGCAGCGCTTCCATTACATCTGCCACAAGATGCCTCCCAAAGCAGCTGCTTTGGGTTACTCAGTGGTGAAGAGACAGCATCCTACAGACACTTCTTATTGCTACTTCACATATTGAAGGGCAGGGCTGTGTGTGTGAAGTTTCTAAAGAACCAAAATAATCAGTGCAATTTTGAAATCGGTGGTTGAAATTAGTGCAACTTGGAAAGGTTCAGACTGTCATATTGATTCAAAATGGCATCCAGTTGTATCTGTTCCTTGATCTCAGGAAGCATCATGCAACATTTGGTTACGATATCTTAAAAGGTGTTCACATGCAGAGCTAACAAACAACTTTGCAAAATATATGGTAGAGAATCTGGAGTGTCTGGCACCAAGAATGCACCCACAGCTCTTAATGAAAAAGTTTTGGAAATGCTTATGTGATTTTTATTATTGTATTTTTACTTTGGTTGTAAATTGCTTTGGGACTTTTTGTAACGGGAAGCAAAATCTAGATGTAACAAACCTAATTGTAAGAATGATCCCTGGCATCAAAAAGATGCTTTGAATAATTCCTCACATCAGCATCAGGTCCTCACCCCCTTCTCCCCCTTGGCTGTTATAGCAAGTATCAGTTCTGTCAAGAAAAAGTCCTGGAGCGTTCCCTCCTGTGATCATGGATCCAAGCTGAATGGACCCTGCTTTATTGGGAGTTCAGAAAGTTATTTACCATTTAAAAAACATACTTTTAGCAAAAACCTGCCTGTGCATTTATTTTCATTTGCCTGTAGTTATTTTCAGAATCTGGAGTGTGTGATAAAGCAGGCCTTTATTTAAGGATGCTTGCTTGTCCCCATAGGCTGGTAAATATATGCTGTTTTATGTGGTCTCTGCCTTTGTTGTATTTCATGACACTCTGATCTTAAATTGCTTTTGAGCTGCCCTGAACATTGCATCGGCAGTAGAACAGCAGGGCAGAAATCTCTTTTAAAAAACCTTTGTGCCTTGCTTATGTACTTCAGAGGCATATGACTACCCACTAGAGTAGATGGGGCTTTGGTCTGATCCCATGAGACAGTTCTTAAGCCCAGAAAGCAAAACGAGGGCTCCCCAAACACTTCTCACTGTATTGAAACAGGCAGTTTGGAAGATTTCAAATACTGGGGAGCCTGCAGCACATTCTACCAGTTCTAGAACAAGGTGCAGCACCTTTGTTCGTTGTGAAGAGCTCCATAATTTTATTTAGATATCTGGATGCAATGAACTACCACACAGGTACAGCTGGAGTCTAAAAGCAGCATTCAGAGGTAAAAGGGAACAAAATCAAGACAGTCCAACACACTCTGAAGTGCAATGCTCAGACAAAGAGGAACTTGGGAGTACAAGTCATCCTGTAAACAAGCACACACAGAAAGGATGGTCCTCAGGCTCATAATGAAGTGGTATTGCCAAGAGAAAAATATTGCTTCCATGGAATGACTCTTACAGGAATTGCTGTAAATGGCATACATGGGAGAATATAATGAAAATGGTCATTGTATACAACTTACGTAGGTCACCACTAGGACTGCCACTATTTTGCAGGCAGGATTCAATCACATATTAGAAATTTAGGTTTACGCAATTAAAGTGCTCTGGCACAACCAATCCACTTTTAAATAAAGACTTTCTGCAGTTAGGAAAGTGATAGGGAAGTGAACTGATTGTCCCCACAAACAAACCAGAATGAATATTCAATAAAGAGTGAACATCATATAACCTTTGTGCAAGCAAAATGAAGATCAATGCTTAATAAATAGGTTAGCTGGGCGAACCCTTTGGGGCTTGATGGTTAACTCTAGAAGACTCCTGGACGGTGGCAAAAAAGGAGTGAATTATATGGATGACCCATTCAGAAAGACAGTCTTTAATTGTAAGCAGTTACACTGACCACTTACAATTTCATGGCTACAAAATCTAATGTAGAACTTGCCCAGAATGGCACAAGAATGATTAAGTCTTGCAACAAAGCTATCTGCATCGCTCAGCATCGGATAGAAACAACCCAACTTCAGTCAAGAGTCAGCTAGGCACAGTAGCTAGAGTGTTCAGCAGACTTGGGAGGACCAAGATCTAACACCCTAGTTTGGGCCCAAAACTCTATAAGTAGTCTTGAATAAATATTCATTTCAGAGTCACTTGCAATCACAATGTGTGTGTATGTTTAAAAAAGGTAAAGGACTATTGCCATAACCCACCTGAGTCCTTGTGAAGGAAGTCTAATGAAAGCTTATCAATTCAAATTATACGGCAGCAAATCTCAAGGCTCTTCTCATGTTTCCTGGGGAGCCCTTGAGATGGCTCCTTCCTTTGTAGTATTCAGATAATACCAAAAAGAATGAGGCCACGTGACTGAAAAAGATCAGGGTGGGAAGGAACTTGTCTGCCCCTTGAGCAACAGCATCACATCCATACCTGCTTTCTTAAGATCTCCAAAAAAAAATAAATCCCTTACGTTGCTGTGCACAAGTGCAGAACCCATGTGTGTGACTACACAGAGGCCATGCAGAACAATCCCAGTTTCTAAGAGGAAAACACAGGTGGTGGGCTCCTCCCATGTGACAGATTCCATCTGATGTTACCTGAGGTAGTGGGAAGACAATATTGGGTAACACTTCAAAGTTTTTACAAGAACAGTCAAAGGTAAATAAACATTTAAAGATGGAAAAGGGTCATGCAGGTAACATGACATGTGGTCTTTTACACAAGAAAAAGCAAGGGGAGGGGGTAATCACACTCATATGTCAATGAAAGACCCCCTGCTGGTGATTTCAGCCCCCTTATCTGTAACCAAAGCTCTACTAAAGAAAAAAACAAGTCCGATTCAAAATTTAGCATAAAATGGTCCTGGTTTTAATGGTCCTCATTGTTTTAATGAGTTAATTTGGTTGTGATAGTCATGCTAGTTGTTTCAACCTTCAAAAAGTGGAAAGGGGGAAAGGGAAGGTTGTGGTAGCTGGCAACTATTTTCTGTTGGGGGGGGAGTGGAAATGTAACAACAGGTTTACCTAGAACATTTACAGTTCCAGAAGATTAGACAGTACAAACTCTTATTTCCTAGAATATCCACAGATCTGTCAGGTCAAGTAAAAGTTGGCACCAGTTGTCGAGTCAGTTTGAGGACTTCTATTTCCTCAAAGATTGGTTCACACATGCACATGTACATCACTTGGTTTTTCTACACTTGATTGTGGTTGGTAACCAGCAGTTCATAGAGTGAACTGACTCAGCTGAAGAACAGCACTGTGTTTTGGGTGGTGTAAGGCAATGTGGAGGCTTTTATCTCTGGTGTTTTATCTCTGATACATGAATGTAAGCCAGAACTTGTTAATGCAGTCAGCACTGAACAGGTACATGTGAACTTATCATTAAATTTCAGAATTTCCAATGGTCACCCTCAACATGAAGCTTTCAGATCAAGGAACTGCTCTCTTAAGTCATGCCTGTCATAACACTGTATAACATACAAAAATATGACAGACATATATATGGGGAGGAAACACGTCATCAGTGAGCTGCTCACAATCCTGGAAGACACTTCAAATCTTTTATCCAAGATAATCATATTTAAATGAATGTTTCAAAAGAAAGCAAAGTCAGCTCTGTGTGGATCCCCTTCCTGCATGTGTGAAATTATACTTATTTTGCTGACATATTTGCACAAAGATCTGTTGTGAAAGGGGGGAAGAGCAACAAACTCTCAATCTCTCTTGCTCTGCCCCCTCCTCACACCAATACTGCCCAGCAAGATGTCTCCTGACCAACTGCATAACAACACATTCCAGAACAGACAAAGGAAATTGACTGTAATGGGCTAAAGCATTTACAGGAAATGCGTTTGGGAGAAAAGGGGCAGAATTATCAAAGAATCAAAACAAATATAAAAGGAGGCACACATTCAGCATATTAGTTAAGAAGTTAGATGACATTTGCATTCTAGCTCCTCAGAGTCTCTAGGCCAACTTAGAATTTTTAGAGGCACACCAAATGTTTTAAATGTACACTTAATAATGTAAAATCTGATTGATACTGACAGAGGCTGTTGGCCTGGTCAGCCGTTCAGGAAGCCACGACTGGATGTAGTTCCTTGTTTGGTGCACACTTTGTGTTAAACCCTGCTTTGCCTCTGTGCAGAATAGTCTTCACTGTTTCAATTAGAGAAAGAACCCCAGTTCCTTCTTGTGGTCCATCACAAAAAGCCAAGCCCTTTACTGCAAACCTATCAATGATCCCAAATTTTGTATTTCCATCAGACGATCAATATTTGCAGACAAATTTAGTCTTCTAGCCACATAGAGTTGAGGGGAAGCTTAAGCACAAAGCTGAACAAGGGAATCAAGGAAATGTGTGTCTTAATTCAAACCCTTAATTAAACCACCTTCCCTTACAGTTTCTTAAGTGATGAATGGCTTTAGGTGATTAAATGTGACAGGCATGAAGAGCTGGGGCTGTTTTTGAAAAATGCCCAGTACATCCCTATCTCATAAGGAAGCTCCTTCCTCACCTTCAGGTTGTTCGTCCCTCAAACCAGAATTTTGATGCTTCTTCCTAAAGATACAAAACTCATTATCTTTGCTTAGTGCTTAATCCTGTGTTCCTCAATGTATACCTATGTGAAGCAGTTCTGGGAAAGAGAATCAATGTTTTTCCTGAACACTGAAAACCACATCTCACAATATATTTTGTGCCTGGGTACCAATGCATCAGTTATGATGCTTCAAATGTGGCTTTCCCCTTGTAAACAAACCAGCAAGGTGGTTTGGTTCTTGCCCACTTGTCACTTTTGTGTATTTTAAAAAGGGAAAGCTGTACTTGAAATATGCACTGCACATGTCTTTCACAATCAACTTGGCATACATGTATTTTGTATTAATTGGTAACATGCAAACAGAAAATTTCTCACTAAATACCGCCATCAAGTGTGGCTGGAGAACTGGTAAGGCTCAAACACCAAGTTCCCTCAGTAACATTTGGAGAAAGACACGAGCACCCAGTATTATGGCCTGGGAAACATATGCTACAACAATGGGCAGTGGGAGATGAAGGAGAATGAGTACCAGGGATAGGAAAGTGGTAGTCCAGAGACTCAGTCCAGTCTCCATCAGATGCCTGGTTTCTTAAGACACTTCTTCCCTTTATGCAAGGTAAGCTATATGAACATAGGCTCATTGTTCTGCTCCACCCCTGTCTACCTGACCATTTTTCTCACGTTCTGCTCACCAATGCCTAGTTCCAATTCATTTCTGATGTTACGGGAGAGTGGCCTTTTAAACCTAAGATTTTTGTGATCACTCAGTTGCTGGATACAACCTGAGTGATGCAGCCAATAAAAGCAGTTCTTTAAAGCGTAGGTTTTCAGCACAGGCATGGCTGGAAAACCTCATTTTGTCAAAGACAGATGACAATATAAAGAACCACTGCTTGCAAAGGCCACTGTTTGATTACCAATACATCAATAAATCCACAAGAGCAATGGGATAGTTCTAGATCTGAATATGCCAGGCCAGGCACACCATTGCTACATCTACAAACTGTCCCCCCACCCCCCAAATAATTACAATGCCTCCATTAAAAGCAATAGCTTCCAAACTGTTCTGGAGACACCTTGGGCTCATAATAAGACTGAGCCTGGCAAACCAGCTTCCCTGAAAGAGAGAATAGTGAGACCCACCCAACATGTCAGGTCGCAGGCTCAAAAAGTCAGAAGGGCTATGCTCCAGGACCTACTGCAATGCACAATGGATTCCTTGGTAGACAGGGCAACACAGAAAGGATTCCTTCAAGGCAGATAGTTTGAAAACCACTGCATCAACAAACCCCAAGTAGAAATCTAAAGAAATATTTTCCATGGGTAGGTCTGCTTTCTGGTAACAGCTGTGAACATAAAGGTTATTCTTGATAACTCCAAGAGAAATTATTACCCTGGACACATACAGATGAACTCGGGAAAGCTGAAAGGTTTGCGTAGCCAACGGTGTGAAGTTTGTGACTGACAAAATACAGCCATGATTTCACTAGAGGAAAGCAAGATTTGAAGTGTGCCTATTAAATGTCCTTCCTTAAAATAAAATTTAAAAAATGCACTATGCACTCCAAAATTATTTGTTCAGGCAATCCATATACAACAGAAGGCACTGTTATCCATAGGACCCCTTCAATTTCACATGGCAAAGACCTGAGAAGTGCAACTCAATCCAATTCCATACAGCTGCTTCCCCATTTCACGGGGAAGAGCAGGAACAGAGACGTTCTTCAGTCCAACAACTTAGAAAAATACCACAAGAATTTATACATTACAGTAGCTGGTTAGAAAGAGTGTCCTAATGAGGGGAAAGAGGGTTGACCACTGCCTTTCCCAAAAGGAAATCATCTTCCAGAGCACTCCATTACCTTCCCTTGTCTGCTCACAAGTCACAAATGTGTGTTGCTGTTTTAATAAAATGCAATAATGAAATATTCTGCAGAGTCCCTTAAGCTTTCGTCTTTTCCTCCTTCAGTTGCTCCCTGGAGGATTGCCAAAGTTAAATGAAGAGACCAGTCCTTTGTTATCAAATGTGAAGCCCGTTTGCTGCTCTATCCTCTTTGATTCTAGAATTAAAAAGAAATAAGTTTAAGAGACAGATAGTAAGTATGTTTTTTTAAAGCACCAATGAACCTCCTTCAAAATGCATGCATTTATTTTCTTAAAAGATTGAAATTTCTGAAGTACCACCAAGGCGGGGGGAACAAAATAATCTTGCAGATTTGTATCTCTATATTGTCCCTGCACTACTGGAGATGGGTAATATTCTGTAGTGGAAAGGGAAAACTACTGAGCCCAATAGAAAAACACCCACTCTGCAATTTCCACATTTTGCTTGTATGGACAAGTAGGTAATATATAGGTGTATCATACAAGTAGAAATAATCTATTCCTGTATAATTCATTTGGTTAAGCTTCCTGTCCTAATAAGGGTGGGTAATGCAGAGACTGTTTAGGGAGTCTCTAAACTCAATTTGTGTGCAACTAATTCTCTGTAGAGATCACTGGTCCTCCATACCAAGTGACAACAGTGTAAAGTGGACCTCTAACAAGGCCTAACAAAGGAACATAGAAAGCTACTTTATGCTGAGTCAGGACATTGGTCCTTCTAGCGCTGTGCCATCTACTTTGTCTAGCAGCTCTCTAGAGTGGCAAGCAGAGGTTCCTATCATTACCTACCAATCTAATCCTTTGAACTGGAGATGCCAGGGATGAAACAGGGAGCCTAAATTTGAAGCATGTGCTGTGTCACTGAGCTATGGTTCCAAGAACTATGTTGATAGCTTATTTATAGTGGCAATATATAGAAAGCCACAAATGCTTTTTTGTAATTTAATCTCAGTGGACTTTTAAAACTCGCTGCATACCTCCATTTCTACTTCCCTCACCCAAGTTTCTTTGTCCTTTCTTACTGAAACAGAGAAAGTTGGGAGGGCAGAAGAAGAGCTATGCTTGCAGTTTCCTCTGAGTTGTGCTTCTCCATCCTATACATACTGCTGCTGTCTGCGGTGTCCGTTACATATTTATTGCCTCCAATTTCTCTCTCACCAAATGTTCCCTGGCACTTCTCTATCTTCGTCTTCTCTACAGGGACGATAAGGACAGTGAGAATTCTCTCTCTTGCTCTGAAGACTTATCTATCTCTCTTCAAAGGATAGAAGCCCTTGTGAACTGAAGATACCTCCCCTCTTCCAAAGAGTATCCAGTACACAAAGGGTGCTTACAACGGGCAAAAGAGGGCAATGGGAAAATCTATTGAATGTGCTTCTCTCTTTGTGTAATCAGAATATGTTTTGTTTTAAACTTGAGGAAGCTTGAATTACTTGACATGGTTGCAAATATTAAAATTCTTATTTATGCAGTGTACAATTCATGCTTCTACAGACATCCTTGGAACACAGTAAATAAACAGACTCACCTGCTGAACTCCTCCGGTGTTCAGCTAACGCACAGATGCCCTGCAGCTGAGTCTTCTGATCATTGCTGAGTGGTGCTGTCAGCAAGTGGTACCAGGCTGCATCTCGGCTCTGTATCGCTATCAACACAGAAATAATGGTCTTTCTTTTAAGAAAGTTTCAGAAAGAAAAGGCAGATACACAACCCACCACAACCTTCCTCCATTATCATTAAAACAATCCTTTTCATAAGTAGAAATCTTCTACCTTTGGCTTCAGTATATTGAGCTGAAATACCTGTTCCAGTGAGCAAAGACTGTATGACATACTTGGCAACTTATCTCTGATGACAAACTAGGAAGACAAGTAGCTGCCTTATATTAAGCCATTGGTCCTTCTAGCTCAGTATTATCTATGCTGACTGGCAGTGGCTGTCCAGGGTTTTAGGCAAGGATCTTTTCCTAACCTTACCTGGAGATACCAGGATTGAGTCTGGGACCTTCTGCTTTCAAAACACTTGCTCTATCACTCAGCTACAGCCCTTCCCCTAAGCTTGTTGGTTTTAATCATCCCACCCCAGAAGCAATAATTTACCCATCATCTTTGTATCCTGCCCTTGCTGGGAGAATCTCAAGGACACCTGACGAAGTGATAACTCATTTTGTTTTCAAAGTACAGTACAGTCATACCTCGTAGTACCTTGGTTCTCAAACTTAATCCATTCCAATAGTCTGTTCGACTCCAAAAACTGTTCAAAAACCAAGGCGCGGCTTCCGATTGGCTGCAGGAGCTTCCTGCATTCAAGCGGAAGCCGCCTCAGACATTCAGTTTCCAAAACAACATTTGCAAACCAGAATACTTACTTCTGGGTTTGCGGCATTCAGGAGACAATTTGTTTGACAACTAAGCCATTTGAGAAACAAGGTACCACTGTAATCCAGGGAGGTAAGTTAGGCTGAGAGAGAGTTGCCCAAAGCCAACATCTGAATGTCATGGCCAAAGAGGATTTGAACCAGAGTTCTGACTGCCAAAGCCAACAATCTGCCTGAATAAAATAGACTTGTGTACATCTGAATCTGGGACATTTGGCATAAAAAAATGTTTTTTTACCACTTGACTATGATCCTTCTGATGATGGGAGAGTTAGGCTATGCTATTTATGAGTTAGGCTATGCTAATAAAATCAGGGTTAGGCTATGCTAGCCCTTCCCAGAAAAACAGCTGGAGATTGCGATTCTCTTTCTGAAATGCAAGAAGAAAACAAAGAGTTTTCCAGCTTAGCAGGGTTCCTCTATCTTCTGTTCAACTAGAATTTCACAGAATCCTTGTAGGATACAGAGTGCATGTTTTGGACTGAAAGTTGGCCAATGAGCTGACTGAATGTTGTGCTCCAAAGATAACAATGAATCTGACAAAGATTTTGTAGCCTTGGAGAAGACAGAAGACATTTGTGGGTTTTGTTGCTATTGCTCTAGGTTTCAGATGAATGTACCTAGTAGTGCCTGTGTAAAGAACTGGTATTCATCCACACCATCATCCAGGTCGATAGGGGTGCTGAAACCTTCTAAAGCAGTTTCTTCCAGTGCATCATCATCCCAGTCATCGTCATCATCTTCATCGTCATCTCCTGCATCACCCCCACCACCTGTATGGTTTTCCTGCATCTCCTGGCTGACTTCATTGGCCTCCTCTTCATCACTTGGAATCTCTTCTGTTAAAAAGTTTATTTTTAATAGAAGGCATGTCACAATATATTCAGGATTTAATGGGGCACTTTGGGGGGGGAGCAAAAAATATTCTAAATTTCCTGAACAACTGGCCCCAGTGCTGTCCCATAAATGAGCGGTTGCAATTCACCTATGTAGAATAAGGAAAGCACTACACTCAGGCAAAAATTAAACTGCTGACCATCATCCTTCTAGGAGGTGGCCCAATTCTCAGAGAGGGTTATTCAGCAACGCAATATGGGAATATAAAGTACTTCTGAATTTTTTGAAATATGCAGTCCCTCCCTCTCAAGGAAGCTGAAAGACATTATGACAGGTATTTTTGCTAGTAACAAATAGAAAAATGATAGCTGATGAAACAGTATTGCTATAGCAACCATCCCCTGCCCTCTCCACTGAAATGCACACATGTATATTAATTATTTTACCATTATCTTCTGCTTCATTCTTTTCAGATTTAGCATGTTCTTCATGTTCCGTATGCTGCCTGGTGGCACACAATTGTTTCAGTCCCAGGAACAGAAGGAGGACCGACGGAACAATCTGAGCAGCCACAGCATCTACTGCGGGAGGTCGGTTGGGCAGCCCCATCAAAATGCTCAGCCCTATGATGCACATCTTCCTGTCATGGAGGCTAAACACACATACACACAAATGAGTGAGAATCTCCCATTTTTATTTATTATAGGCTTATTTAAACGCCCTTTACGATGAGATCTCAGACCACATTACAACAATTTATAGTCGCACAATTTAAAACCAGGTAAAAGAAATTAAACAAGAAACCAATACAGTTTAAATCAGAAAACAGATAACAACCAAATATGCTCTCTGAAAGAGGCCTCCCTGTCTTGGGTAGTAGATGAGGACAACGCATACTGGGATGCTTCCCTTACATAGGCCCAATATGGCTTTTCCTTTCTTTTTTTATAGACACTGTTTAACGCGAACGAACATAACTTTTAATTATGTATTTAAAAATTCACCAGATGCAGAAATTCCTGAAGCAAAATTCAGACAGAAGCTAGAAGAAGAAGAAAACCCAAACATCAGCCAAACATTCTAAGTGGCAGCCATAGTAGAACTCCAATTAAGTATCTCATTTACATCATGCATTTAAATTTTCATGCTGCAGAACGGCATGACAGGGGGTCTACGTAATGGTCGCCACATAGAAACAAGCAAACAGTCAGAGGAGGGTGACAATGTGCAGTCACCTGTTTGGAGTAGGAGGGCGGAGCAGGGTTTGAGGAAAAAGAAGGGTTGTTTGCTCTTTTGACTGTGTGGGAAATTCATTCTCAGGGCCAGCCCCAGACATTTTGACACCTGAGGCAAACCACAAAATGCTGTCCCCCTCCAGGGAAGAAGGGGTGAGTGAAGTTCCACAATGGGAACAAGGGTGGGAGGAGACCAGCAGTGCCTTATATTCGCCAAGAAGCCACTGTAGAGCTGGCACTGGAGTGGGGGTGCTGAGGAGACAGCAGTTCCCATCTCCAAGGAGCTCACCACAGCTGTTGCTGCCACTGGAGTAGGGGCGGCAGCAGCAGGGTGAAGCATTCCTTGGAGGCTGGATCTGCTGCCCCTGCAGATCCTTCCACCCGAGGCGGTCGCCTCACCTTGCCTCATGGGTGGGCCGACCCTGCTCATCATTTAAACATTTTACTAAGCGCATACTCCACCTTGTATCCAAAGGTGTCCAAGGTGGTCCTATCATGTGGCCCCTGACACTAACAAAAGAGACCATTTATGGTTTGAAATAATACAAAATAATACAATTTGAAAAGAACTGAAAAGGCTGTACACACACAAAATGGAATGAAAAAACGTGGCACAGATTTTAGAGTCTTTCCTGGGCACATAAGTGCTGTTACACCCCTGTAAAACGGCATAGCCAGTTATTATCCAAAGTTCCCCCCCGCCCAAGAATAATAATTTGCAATGAGTCCGCTGCTAAACAAACACTTGCGGTTACTAATGAAGCAGATGCCCTGCCCTCTGGAGAATTATAATGACGTGGGACCAACTATAAATCTGACAGAAAAATTAATCTCAATTGGGCTGAAGAGCACTCTCGTACGGAATGAAAATTGGCAGACGGACCACTGCAAATAGGAGCAATAAACAGTGAAATATTTGGCGGGGAGAAGGGAGAGGGCGGGGGGGGGGAAAGATTTTTTTACCTCAAAGACTTGGGATGCTCCTTTTATTGAAAAGTGTTATCAGCATTCAAAGCATGTGCCTCTACCTTAAATTAATGCTCCAACTGGGCTCAACATATTTTTTAAGAAAAAAAATTGTTAAGAATATCCTTCAAGTAACTCACAAGAGGATTCACTGTGGAGGCGGAAATATATTTTCAAGACCATGAGGGTAACTCAAAATGGGCCTTTAGTGAGAGGGAGATCACAGAACAGGAACCAAGAGAGCTTCAAGCTTGCAAGGTTTGAATGAGCATAGCATGAATTACCCATGTCTTTGGTCTCCCTTCTTTAGGAGACATTTTTACAGAGGAAGGATAAGGAACCTGTGGCCCTCCACCAGATGTGGCTGGACTAGAAAATCCCCATCGTCGCTATTTGTATTATTTATTACATTTATGTCCCACCCAGTCTACCTAAGGAACCAAAAGGGACAAACACCAAAGCGCTAAAGCAATAATATTTAAAATAAAACAGGAACCCAGGAAGGTGCTTAGACCATTGGTTCATCTAGTTCAGTAATGTTTATGCTGAATGTCAGTGTAGACAGTACTAAGCTAGATGGACCAACAGACTCAGTATAAGTTCTTAGAATCATAGAATTGTGGAGTTGGAAAGGAACGCGAGGGTCATCTAGTCCAGCCCCATGCAGTGCAGGAACATGGCTTCCTTCCTAAACACAAGGTGGCAGCAGTATAGAATGCAGAAGGTACAAGAGGTTCAAATGCAGAATTAGCCACTGTCTGCATTTGCTAGCTAAGCCAAGGTCTTCTGCTCTTGGATGTTTGTTGAATTCCGGAAAATCTCCGTTTTAAATTTTAAAAAAAGTTTCTAATCTTTATAATGAGATGAAGAATATGATGGCAAAAACTAGGCCCTTAGTGCCAAATAAGTTGTCCACTCTTGGCCCTTAGCCTTAGATAAATTGGTCATGATGTAACCATCGCCTAAGGGGGAAAGTCTTAGAAGCAAAAAACTGAATGAAGAGTCTTCTGTTTTTTTAATTGGCACAACAGGACAAAAAGCCTTTTTATTTTAAAATATATACTAAAGAGTTACATTCTGCCGCTGATGCACCTTTGAAAGCTGGATAGCTCCCCTAACCACAGAATGTAATAAAGCCCTTTTACAACGCACTCACCAGAGCAGTAAATGTCACGTTAAAACTGCATTTATGAGACACTGTAATTCTTTGCAGTTACATAACATCGACTCCAAGACAAGAACGAATATTACAAGATGTCAAGACAGCCACAGTAAATGGCTTCCGGTTCTTGTTAAATGTTTCCTCCTCAGCCTTAAAGGACAACTGTCTGTTACTGTTCATCGTAATCGTCCACAGAAAATGACTTCCGAACACAACAAAATTCAGCAACACAACAGATTCAAGTATGATCTGAAATCCCTTATCGTTAAGAAATCTACAGCTCGGTATAAATGTTGCCATTCACAGGTTGTGAAAAATCCCTTACTCACACAGATGCTGCATGTGGGGAGCACAACATTTTAAAACTCCTGACTCTATATACAGCAAATGACTTCTATACACCCATTAAGACAGAATTGGGAGGCACACGCTACATGCACTGAGAGGGAAGGCATGAGCTTCTTAAAGCCTATGATTTTTGTGGGGGGTGTGTGTGTCAAAAATGCCATTTATAAATGGTGAATTGGAGGCTGCTATTTCACTTTCACTTCAGGGGTGAGATTCAACCCCAAAAATGATTTCGGCATGAGGGGAGGGGTCTTAAAATTTGCCACCTCATTTGCAAGTGGTGAATTGGGGTATGGAAGCTGTTTGTTGGGGGGGGGGAATCCAAAATGGTTTTAGAAGGAAGCGGCTTTCAACTATGGGGATGGGACTTCTCTCTCTTTTTCTTTAAAAAGCTGCCAGTTTTAAAGAACAGTAAAACCTCCGCTGCAATTGCCCCCACTGATCATTTCCCCACAGATAACTTTACCTTTCTCATTTGGGAGGTTTGCCTGAAATACCCCCACCCCACCCATTCAGGCACTATTAGAAGACATTGCAAGGGGCGGGGTGATCACCTTTACTATCAGCCAGCAACCAAGCCTGCCTGTATGTCCCCTGGAAAGAACAGCCTGGAATCAAAATGATACCACCAACAGCCAGAGGCTAAAAGCAACATCCCTCTTCTGCACAGTGACATATCCCTAATTGAAACAAAATAAAAAAATTCCTTCCAGTAGCACCTTAAGAGACCAACTAAGTTTGTCACTGGTATGAGCTTTCATGTGCATGCACACTTCTTCAGCTCATACCAATGATAAACTTAGTTGGTCTCTTTTTTTACTTTGTTTCGACTACGGCAGACCAACACAGCTACCTACCTGTAACATATCCCTAATTATAATTGCAATTTGGTATGGATTTTAATTGTAAGCTGCTTTGGGAACCAATCTTAGATATCTATATCTATATCTATATCTATATCTATATCTATATCTATATCTATATCTATATCATCTATACCAAGCAAACATAGCATGGCTAGTATTTTTTCTTCTTGCCAGTTAGTAATTTCTGAGGATTTCTACGGCTGACGTGGAGTCTTCTTAACATAACCGAGCTAAAGTGTGTGTATAAAACAGAACGATTGGAGGAAAAGATGTTATTTTAAAAAAATAAGCCAAATAGATTTTCTTTGTTGTGAAAAACATATCAGAGTACAATTTGGAGCTGCAGTTGGTGGGGAAGGTCAAGGAAAATCCTCCCTCCACACAGGTTTTGATATTTTCCTGGACCCTCTACGCAAACCAAAATAAAAAGTCGCTTTCCAAGAAGCCCTAAGCTTTTAAAAAAGAAAAAAAGAAAACCACTGGACACCTACCCAAGGAAACAATCTGTATCATTCATCCACTGGTTTATGAACTGTGCAGTGATGGGCTCTGAGTTGTGAGGAAATCTGATGTTCTCTAAAGTGTGCAAAAGGAGATCAGGGTTGTAGTAAAGGGCCGCAATGGCCACCTGGAGACACATGGTGCGGAGCTCGCTGGTTTTAACCCCTCGCGTTAAGCGCTCTAGGACAGCTTCTACAAAGAGCGGGATGCACTGAGGATAGAAAAACAGGAGAGACATGGGGTAGAGGAAGCAAAGGGAAAGTGGAGAAATGAAATATGTTCAGAGAAAGTTCCAGGCATTAAAAGGCTTTAACTTACAATTAGAATTACCTTTCCTTAGAATAAGGGTCAGGGAACCTGTGACCCTCCTGATTATGCTGGACCACAGTTCCTATGACCATTGATCATGCTGGCTGGGGCTGATGAGAACTGGATCCCAGCAACACCTGGGGGGCCACAGGTTTCCCCATTGCTACCTCACAAGCATGCAACTATACAGCACACAATTCCTTACGTGACTTTGAAGGAGAAATTATGTTATAAAACCATATAATGAGATACTGGCTCTAATACAGCTTCCTAAGAATCTCGGCTCTTTCTTTTTAAAGGGCTGTTTTTCAGTCCTGCAATTAATGAAAAAATGGGAACTATGCCTAATGAAATCTCAGAAAGCCAAAGAAACTGCTGAACAAGATTTCCAGTTGTCAGGAAGCAAAGCTTCGCTACCCTATGAGGCTCTTTGTTGTTCCCTGGGGGTATGCAAAATAAGAAAAAATATGCAACTCTGATAAATATGCATAATTTAGACCGGTCACTTCTCTGAGATAGCTTGTAGCCCATCATATGAGTCCCACCTAACCACCAGCTCAATGATACCACCAAATACTTGTGTAATGAACAAAGCAGAAGAGCTACTGCCAGAACGTTGGCAATCAATTTTGGAAGCAGAAGGCCAGAGAAGCAGAGGCAATTTTTTATTAAAATATTTTAAAGCACCCAGAGCGCCATCTGGTGGTTAAATTCTCACCACCAGATTATAACTTCTCAGTTTGATAGAACAGGTGTGGGGAACACCCATTGGCCATGCTTGCGGGGGCTGTGGAGTTCAGCTACACCTGGAGGTCCTATGATAGATGAAGGATGCTTTGGAGGGGAAGCCTCCAACCTCCCCCAACTCCCTGTTCAACCTTTTCCTTTATCTGCTTCCCCAGATTGCCCCCCTTTTTTCTCTTCTCCTTTGGCATCCCACCATGACCCCGCTTCGCCCCCTCAACATCCCTGCTGTTCTCCTCTTGCCCAATTTTGTCAGCTGCCAACAGGAAAAGGTGGCAATGCCCAAGGTTCCCATGCAGCTCACACCCCTTTCACCCTCCCTACCCAGAGCAGTGGGCGGCAGGTGGCTGTCTGACTGAAGGAACAGTCTGGCAAAAGGGCTGGTGGTGACCTTGAAAAGCCTTTATGGTCTCGGACAGGGATATCTAAAGGACTGCCTGTCAGTTTACATTTCTTGGTACAGAAAGTACTGATCTGATGTGTAGAGATCTTTCCTATTCTAATTAATTCAAGAGGGTTGTGGAAGCCTCTCTGTGTGAAAGAAACAAGCAGAAGGTTCCTCATCTTTGGGAAGCTGAGTACAGCTGGCTTAAACAGGTCCTGTTATCTCTTCCTGTCAAGGTCATGCTGACTAAAATAATAAGGCCAGAAGGGGCCTGGGTTTCACTCTTTTCTATCTCTCTTTCTTTCTTTCTGGTGTGGTGTTCTGTATATAGTATGCTTAGTGATAAGGTTTAGTCTTATTATAAGTTATTGTAAGTTTAAGTTAAGTCTGCTGCAACTGGATTTCTTATGGACAGTGCCAATCCTGAATGTATTGGATTTGTGACCATTATGCTCATTTGCCTTCAGCAGCAGTAAGGCTCTGCTGGATGAAATATTAATGGCCTCGGGTCTATTGTTTGGGAATCCTGCAACATGTTTAAATTTTTACTCTGCTAACTATTAGTTGGAATACTGCTCTGGATCAATACTGAGTAGAATTCAAGCTTGCTTACTAAGACATGCTTGCTTACTAAGGTATTCTGTGGAGGCCCTCTTGGGACTGGAGAAGGGGCCTTCTCAGTGGTTGTGTCTAGACTGTGGAATTCCTTGCCAAGGTAGCCATGTTTTGCCCCATCTGTCATGCTGAATCAAAGTGGCACCTAGCCCAACACTACAAAAAAAAAATAACCTAGGCCAAATAGCCCATTCCTCCAAGCACAAACTAGACCCATCTCAAGCTAGTTCTATCTAATGATCATCAGCAAAGGAAAAACTGTATGCCACTCTATGATTCTATGATTACCTGGTCAATACCCCTCCCTTTGCATTGCAGAATAATGACCTCTAAGAGCTTGGCTGCATGGCATTCGGCATCTTCTCCTGCATCACCAGTTAATACCTAGCAACAAAACCATGAACAAATTACTGAGAAGACAGTTGACACTAAACATGCCCAAACAGGACATGTTTGCTCAGGGTGTAAATGGAAACTGTTCTGAACCATTCATGTCATATCTGAGAAACATATTTTCCAATACAGTATGAGCTCTTATCTGAATAATCAGCAAGGCATCCAACGTAACTGGATAACAAGAGAAGAGCAGACAAAAAACAGAGGTGCTAATCACATGAGCTTACACAGAAATAAGGGATAAAGAATAAATCCGAAAGGTAATGATTTTTAGGTGTTCCCATAATGGGAGTCTTAGTATTGGCACTTTTATTCCTTTCCGTGGAGTTAAGTGGCACTAACTGAAATTGATCCCCAGCCTTCAAAAACAGGGTAGAATCTTGAACATTGTGGTCTGAATCCGTATGTGAATTAAGAGTTCTCAAAACATTATGCTCAACAGGCTCAGTGAGCAAAAAGCAAGAGAGCTCGGATCTGTTATTCTGTTTTCAAGTCTCACTGTCAGATTCATAGAGCTGGAATAGGCCAAAAGGCCATTTAGTACAAAGCCTGCACGCAACGCACAGCTGTCAATCCCAGCAGATCTACCTCAAGAGTTCAGACCTCGGCATGCTAAAAGCAAAGAGGATGCATGGCATGGCAGAGCAAAAAGCTCCGTGTTGCTCAAGCAAACTGAGCCAAAGCAGGGCCCTCTACTAGAGAAAGGCAATTCTACTAATCCTCTGTGGGACTTTTCCCAGAACAAGCACACTAGGAAGAGCAACCGAAACTGAATATTCAAGAACAGAATAAGTGTCTGTCCTCTTTTCTGGTACAGCTCATGTATTTAAAAGACAAACACATTTACAGTATTCTAGCATATGTTTTTGTGTAGGATATACATCATTTCTAGTTGTAAAGCGGGTGTCTTGCATGCTGATGTGCTATGAACCTAAGTGAAAGCAGTAACAGAATTGAAAAAGGATCCAGTATATGGCGTGGGCGGAAAAATCCTGTTTTTGAGAAAGCCATACCATGTCCAAAATCAGTGGGTATAAGTAACTACACTCATCCTGTCAAAGTAACATGCAGGCATGACCCTCAGACCCTGGATTTGAAGTCTGCTGAAGGGAAGCAAGCAGAGAATGTATGCTAAAAGCGGGTCTAAACAGGACTACTTGTGACCTTTACATTTCACCCAGTGCTACATTTTTCGGTCACTTTTTCATAGTCATTTTTGATACCTAGTTGGTAAAGGTATGAACAATGGCAATACTTACCTTTTTACACATGGTGTAAATTATCTCTAAATTTTTGGGATTTGACAGTAACGTATCGGTATCAACGGTGACATAGTTGTGCAAGAGAGGCATCATATCTAGACAGAGGCAAGCAAAACAGTTAAGCTTGAGAGCAAAAGTAAGGTTAGCATTGTAGAGTTGTTTTCCTGGCATAGTACATGTTGACAAGCACTATAAACACATACATAACTTAAAGGGAAGGGGGGGGAAACAAGTTTCTAGTTCCTAGGGCGCCAAAGAAATTCCAGAAGTGTGTTGACAATCCCTGAAGCCAGCTGCATGACGGAATAAAATTACGGAAGCAGGAAATGTGCAAATTTACTCAATATGCAGAGTTTATATAGGTGTCAGAAACTGGATTGCCACAGCCCAATTGAAATCCACACCACTCTGCACAAGGCTATCCCGTGCACATGCAGCTCTGAATCTATAACACTGAGGAACAATGCAAGCTTGTTTTCACTCAGCTGAGACAAATTGACAATTGATACACTCCATCATAGCTTCCTGAACTACTGCTAGCCAACATAATACTTCAAATCGAGTTACTTGAACAGATCTACTGCTCCAGCCTCTCAGGTTATTATAACATCAGTCAATCCCCTTTCAGAACACACTACAGAGCTCATTACCTGCAAAGTACTCAAAGCAATCCTGTTGAAATACTTCATATAAGACACCCAGAAGCTGCCACATTTGAGGTGAAATAAGATGGCACGTCAAGCTGTATGCTAGAGAGAGGATTTCTTCATAGAACTCTGAAAGGGAAACCCCCGCAGATCTGATGAGGTCTGAAAATAAAAGTTTGCAAATCCCACACAAACTGCAAAGATTCATACCATTATCAATCCTTTATACAGCAATTTTAACCAGCAAACATGTTTTGCAATCATGTCTTCCTTGAGGTATACTGACAGCAAGCTTGCCAGTTCACCTGAAGGTGTGACGGTAAGGAATTTATCAACCAGCACTGCATAGACTTGATTCAGGGCTTAAACAAAACTACACATTTAGTCCAATTTGAAGCTGGGCATAACACTACTATACTTCCATTGTGTGCCCCACTGTCACTTCCCCAGGTATGTCCAGAACTGAATTGACTGTTGTTCCTTTGGCCTTCCAATCCGCACTACAGAAAGCAATCTATATGTCTAATGTGCAACAAAAGTAAATTCACAACAGGTGACTTATTTATGCCTAAACTGAAGTGGATAGCAGAGAAAAGATGTTGTTAAGGCAGCTTTCACCAATCCAGGCCAAAACATCTGGAGGGCACCTGATTGGCAAAGGCTGGCTGGAATAAGAGGATGTACTATATTCTAATATCTAATTCAAGACTGACTTTTAGTTCTCTGCAATACAAGCACAAACAAATAATCTGGCAATATTTTCTAGAAGGTCAGCTTTTTAAATTTACCTATTACGTGCTTCTGCAAGACGAGGCCAATGATCTGTAAGCAAATGCTCTCCAACTGTTGAGTTATCTAGAATAAGAAGAGACAGAGACTGTTTATAGCATGAAAGTAACAACTGGATGTTTTTGTTTAAATGAACAGCTGCCCTAAAACAAAAAGCTAAACTTAAAACTGTTTTAAAACTATGACTGGCTGAAAGCTGTAGGCAAAGATTTGTGGGGCAGAATAGGCCCACAGCGCCACCTGTTGACAAGTGATGGAGAAGGCTCACCTCCTTGTGGTCTTGCACAACAGTAAGGATAGTATCAATTGTGTGAAGGATCCCCATAGCCATGACAGTTTTATCCTCCAGTTCTTCATATTCTTCACTTTGGAGAACTTTCCCAAATATCTCTGCCTAAAGAAATCAAGACACAAAACAACGGAGAAGCAGCCTGCATCAATGGAGAAGCATCCTTGGAGACGATGAATTATTATTATGTATTAAAGCATCAACGGGCACAGCACCTTTGAGTAAGTCCTGCACTAGCAGTTAGAACACCTGGAAGCCTGGGGAAGAGGGCTTACCATCATTGCCCTCCACAGCTCTTCCCACTGGCTGTGTTGGCCTCCTCTAGTGAGTGAGCCAGCTGTGAACTATCTAGTTCCCAAACTGCATTTTAGCCAGGCTGCTTGGCCCTTGGAATGCAAGACTAGAACTTGTAGTGTAGCCTTCCCTGTGCCTGCCCCCATCCTGAACTTTGAGTTTTCTCTGTACAGTGGTACCTCAGGTTAATTTGTTCCAGAGGTCTGTTCTTAACCTGAAACTGTTCTTAAGCTGAAGCACCACTTTAGCTAATGGGGCCTCCTGCTGCTGCCACGCCGCTGGAGAACAATTTCTGTTCTCATCCTGAAGCAAAGTTCTTAACCTGAAGCACTATTTCTGGGTTAGTGGAGTCTGTAACCTGAAGTGTATGTAACCCGAGGTACCACTATATATAGATTATTTCTTTGTACAGTGGTGCCTCGCAAGACGAAATTAATTCGTTCCGCAAGTTTTTTCATCTTGCGAGTTTTTCGTCTTGCGAAGCACGGTTTCCCATAGGAATGCATTGAAAATCAATTAATGCGTTCCTAGGGAAACCGCTTGCCAGGCTGGCGGTGCGGAGAAGGGCTTTTCTCCCCACCGCAAGCCTTCAGGACAGGTACGGGAACAGAGGGGAAGGCGCGCAGCGCTTTCCCTCTGTTCCCGGGGCTTGCGTGGGAGGAGGGTTTTTCCTCCCCACCGCCAACATTCAGAACAGCATTCTGAATGTTGGCGGTGGGAAGGAAAACCCTCCTCCCACCCCAAGTCTTCAGGAAAGCCATCCGAAGCCGGGCGGCGGGAGAAGGTGTTCCCGCCCCGCCGCCCGGCTTCGGAGCTTCGTTCCGATGCCGGGCGGCGGGAGAAGGCGTCCCCGCCCGCCGCCCGGCTTCGGAGCATCGTTCCAAAGCCGGGCGGCGGGAGGAGGTCCGAGGACAGTGGGGAAGACACGCTGCGCTTCCCCGCTGTCCCGGAGATTTCCCTATGGGCTTTCGTCTTGCGAAGCAAGCCCATAGGGAAATTCGTTTTGCGAAGCGCCTCCAAAACGGAAAACCCTTTCGTCTAGCGGGTTTTCCGTCTTGCGAGGCGTTCGTCTTGCGGGGTACCACTGTACTGTTGAACTTATCCTATTTATCTGATCTTATAAGGTCTTATGTGAATTGATTGACATGTTTGTAACAATTTATACATATCGTTTCAAATGTTTGGTATGCTGATAATAAGCATAGGAAGCTGTCTTATACCAAGTCAGACCAGTAGCCCATGCAGCTCAGTATTGTCTACACTGACTGGCAGCGGCTCTCCAGGGTTTCAAGCAGGGCACTACCTAGAGATGACAGGGATCGAACCCGGGACCTTCAGCATGCAAAGCAGATGCTCTACCACTGAGATACACCGAGTTGCTTCTTGTGAGGAACTTGGAGCACAATTCTCCGTGGAAAAGCGACCTATACCTAAACTAAACCAAACCTTATACAGTGGTACATTGGTTTTCAAACGGCTTAGTTGTCGAACAAATCGGCACCTGAACACCACAAACCCGGAAGTGTTCTGGCTTGCGAACGTTTTTCGGAAGCCAAATGTCCGACACAGCTTCCGCTTGAGTGCAGGAAGCTCCTGCAGCCAATCGGAAGCCGCGCCTTGGTTTTCAAACAGTTTTGGGAGTTGAATGGACTCCTGGAATGGATTAAGTTCGAGAACCAAGGTACCACTGTAGTGTCCTAGATTGGTCCTTGCTCCAAGCAGCTTACAAGGTAATATTTAGCAGTAGAGAGAGAAAGGAGGAGAGGTGGGATGTGAGAAAAGACAATTACAGTGGTACCTCAGGTTAAGAACTTAATTCGTTCCGGAGGTCCGTTCTTAACCTGAAACTGTTCTTAACCTGAGGTACCACTTTAGCTAATGGGGCCTCCCACTGCCACCGCGCAATTTCTGTTCTCATCCTGAAGCAAAGTTCTTAACCTGAGGTACTATTTCTGGGTTAGCGGAGTCTGTAACCTGAAGTGTCTGTAACCTGAAGCATCTGTAATCCAAGGTACCACTGTACTTAGACCTAGTTGCAGTTTTGGATGAAGACGAGGTGTGCATGTTAAGCGTAAGACCTGAGAGTCTCCAGGTGTTGTTTGACTCTGACTCCCATCATCCTCAACCCTATTGACTGGAGGTGAAGGGAGACAGAGTCCAACAACACCTGGAGGTTCACGGGTTCTCCACTCTTGATGTAAGAGTTTAGTTCCACAGACTATAAACCTGCCTGAAATGCATGTAAACAGCTGAGAATGTGAGGTGGGGAAAAGAGAGCAATCCAGGTTGAGTGTTTTTGAAAACCAGGATATAATTTTAAAAAACAGTTTAAAAATTAGTATAACAAATGTTTCAATATTTAGGGTTAATGTGGTATGGGAAAAACCACATGGGAAGTTTCCAGAATGTACTGCTTTGTATTGAGTTAAAATGAGAAATGCATTCAATTAATTTTTTTCAAGTCGTTTAAAACTTATTTTTATAGACATGCAGACTGATCTTTACAATGCCAAAGCTGGGAGCTACACATCCCTTAATAAATTCTTGATTCCAACAATATCAAGTGGAACCAGAAACATCAGAAGTTTTCCTCTGTATGAGAGCACTGCTATCTCTTACCAGGTGCTGTGTCATTTCAACAGCAATTGTTGCTACTTCCTGACTGTATTCACAAATCAGCTTCTGGATTACATTGGTGAGATCATCGTTCTCAGTCTCCCGAACAACAAGCAGCAGCTCCTGCATAACTGGCCTGATGTAGGGCTTAATGTATTCCTTTGCTAAAAAGGCACACAGAAAAACAACACAGAAAAAGATAGAAGGGGTCATTTGCTAAATGAAGATGCAAGCAGCTCTGGATTAGGATTAAACCCCTTAGATAGATAAGATAAAATGATAGAAAGATAAAATATAGACATCTATCTGTCTATTTATCTATCATTTTATCTATCTATTTAGCAATGCTTCTTAGGTACACATATCTGTTTGCTTTCTATTCCTGAACTATTTCACTGGTGCAGGAAAAAGAGGTATGTTGGAAAGCTGATAAAGGGAGAAAACTAAACAGACATTTGGGGAAATTGCACCTTTTTCCTTGAAGATACACTCAGGTCCACCCTGCTCCCTTTCTCCAAAAAAATTGCAGAAGATAGCATATGATGACTTGCTAAAGCAGGGTTCTGTAACATCTGCAGCTATTACACCAATCCTAACCTCAGACCTATTTGCATAATTAGCAGTCAAAATACCGGACACTTAAATGAAGGTTCAAAGAATGGGAAATGAATGGCCAATAATGAACTACGTGGGCATTTATTCAGTCCGTAACAAGCCACATGGTAGGATGCTTGATAGAGCAGCAACAGATGCATTGATGTTATTGGAGCATAGATACTCAATACATGGGTGCACCTTTACAGCAACAATGCACAGTAGGGTGAGAACAATGTTTCCATTCTATTTCCACTCTACTTTAATAGGAAAATCAAATATTTCCAGAGGATGCACCCTTCCTGGCTGGTACATATTCTATATTCTAGTGTCTGTCATTACAGAGAGGAGAATTATCATAATATTCATTTATTTTGACAGAAGGAATCTGAGGTTTAGCAACTAGGCATTGGAATTGAACTGGGGATGTTCCTGCAGAGTCCATGCAGAGGCAAGAAAGAAAGAAAGAAAGAAAGAAAGAAAGAAAGAAAGAAAGAAAATCAAAATCAAACCTCGTTCCTGATGGCTTATTAATGATTGAAGTGCTATGGCAGCTTCCACTTTGACAGGCATCTCTTTGTCATCAATCAGGCTCTTCTTTGTTAGCTCAACAGCATTCCTTAGGTTGAGTTCGTTGTGGAATTCCAAAGTACTGAACGAATGAAGAGTCCAACAGGACTGCAGCATAAGAGGGAGAAAGTAAAACAGACACTACTGAGTTCTGTTGTTCTCTAAGGAATCTAGTTTGCTGGTAGTTCTCAGCTGATTAGACTTGCACCCATCTTATGATTTAAAGAGGCTTACATTAGACAACTAAATGTGAGTGTGTGCATGCGGCCACCCCTGATTAAAGCCACCACCACCACTACCAACAACAACCATTAAAATTCTAGGCCAAGTTCCAAAGAGACACTTGTGTATAACTAAGGCAGTTTTGCGCAGGCACCAGTCCTTTGCGCCACATGAAAATGTTGCTCCAGTCAGTTACTCGACCTTCAGGCAGCAAGCAAGAATGTCAGCAATAAAAGAGCCAACAAAAAAAGCAAAGAGCAACAATGTGCAAAACAACATCCCCAATGCCATCTCGCCCCATTGCACCTTGGGAAAGCAAACAAGTTTAAATCAGCCTCCCAGAAGCTGTAAGAGGAGGCACGCTCTCTAAATGATACTAAGAGGAGCAAGTTACCGCAGAACGATACACTTGCTCTGGTCACTTACTCTTGCTCTCAAATACCCCAGGTTCGACATGAACAGTGGAAAGATGTGATTCTGTAGCATCAGCTCCATTTGATCCTTGAAGACACTCTTCTGATGGAATTAACAGTAGCCACAAAAAGGGTTAGTCTCCATTTTGATATGTGACAACATTCAATTATGTCCCAAATTTAACTCCCCTAGAGTAATTGCACAAATATAAACCAAAATCAGTTTCTAGCTTCAAGTTCACTTTCAGAAAATATTCTGGCATTATATAAGTCCAATAAAATGCAGAAAAGCCCAACTGTGAAATATGTTACGCTGTCCAGGCCAAATACAGCTACAGGTGGGAATGTGTCCCTATGAAGGTACATGTATCCAGAAATGCGGACTTGCTATGAATTAAGAGTTTAACAGGAATATCCAACCACTTACATGGGGACCTGCCAAAGAGAGTTCCCTATGGCATATGCCTGTATCAAAAATGTGCATTTCAAAGCATGTTTTTGGGAGTACTGCAAGCTATACCTCAGTATGTGCAATGCAGATATAAACTAAAGTTGTAACATACAAAGCAGCCCCTAAGTGTCTGCATGAGGCCTTCACTGTTGGGCTGGCTCCTGTCCGGTAGGTGGGATGAGATAGAAATGAAGGAGGCTATCAGAGGCAGCATGCCTATGTATTCCAGTTACTGGGAGTCACATGCACAGTTGAACTCAAAGGCATCTGGTTGGCCACTATGAGAACAGGATACTGGACCAGATAGGCCTTTTGTCTGATCCAGCGAAGCTCTTCTCGTGTGCTTAAGTAAGACTGCAGAAAGGAGCAGAATATCTTTCTAAGACCAGGTGAAAAACAAAACCTGGGAGTTTTGATATAGACCAGAGATATTGCCTCGTTTGTTAAGAGGCTTCCTTGTAGCTCTCTCCTTTGGTTAGACCTGGCTGTTGATGCACAGGCTAAATCCCTGTCTAGCTTGACTGTCCTCGTCTTCAAGTGCTACTACTGGTTTATGGGCCAATAGCATACCATGGGATTATTTCAAGTTATGTTTTGAGGACCAAAGTTATGTTTTGAGGACCAAACTGACACACACCTGCTTTTCAAGATGGTATTTAAATTGAACAGAACAACTAGGATACGTCTGTTTTAATGAACATTCTAGAGCTACTTACCATGCCTTACTATCCACAGATCAATTTCATTTCCATGCATGTCTCTGATGAAATACCTGTGTACAACAGGACTTGCCAAGTAGTCCCAGAATACTAATTAAAATATACTTTACAAATCTTGGTTCATTCCATTTTCATTCATCTCTCTTAGAATCCCTTATCAACTCCTGCTCTACACAGACCTTCTGTCAGAGATATACATGTGCATTCTGATCCCTGCATTAAGGTTTTCATGAATCACATTGAAGACTACGTATTTGGTGGCAAAACTACACATATCTTACAAGTCTTCATCCGCTTACCTTCAGCAAAATCTCTGCTAGAGATCCTATCACATGTAATGCCCCATCTTTTTTCCTAGGGTCAACATTGGGCCCAGTAAGTATCTGATAGCAAAATGCCATCATTTTGGGTAACACCTAAACAGATGGAACAAAATGCAGAAAATTAAGAACTAGAAAGTAAAAAATGCTGGAGTCATTCTGTTTAAACCAAGAAGACACTGGTGGTGCTGTTGATGAATGGTAGATGACCCATGCAGAGTGGGGAGAGGCCACACTCAAGATTTGTCTGCCTGGCTACTCAGTGCAGCATCAGTCCAGACTGGAGGAATGGGAGGGGTCACTGTAGCCTGAACCAGCTCAGATGGTCGTGGCAAGGGTAATATTGGATTTTCAGGCAGGGACATACCTTGTACACCGCTGCTGAGCAACTTCGCTAACAAAGAGGATAAAAATGTAATAAAGAATTTTTATTTTTTTTAAGGGAGACAAATAGCCTTTAAGCAGGGACAGGAAATCTTGGCCCTCCAGGTGTTGCTGGATTCCAGTTGCCATCCCCAACAACATCTGGAGGGCCACAGGCTTCCCATCACAGCCAATGAAGAATGGAGGAAGCAGTACAAGCCTTTATAATGTCATAGAGTTGTATTATAAGTACCTCTTTTCGCTTTTTTGCTGCAGTGTACAGAAGTATCTGAGCAGCTGTTGTAGGGGATGCATAATCTTCAAAGACATCTTTCAAGTTTTCAACAACAAAAAGAACAAGAAAAGAAAACCACATCAAGTGTTACTGCACAATCTTTAACAAGAACATTTTGACAAATCATTCTGAAATTGACAGAACAAGGACAACCCAACAAGGCTCTTTTTATTTCTTAAATGAGCAATCACTACTGGAAGTAAACAGCTTTCAGCCAATATCCTACTGTCTCTCCCTCATTTTGTGTTTTTAACAGACACCTCACCACAATCATAGTTTATGGAGGCTTAAACAAACTGTTATTTAGGGATGGAGTGCAATGGACAGGTTAAACAGGGGCATGTCCTACTTTGCCATCTTTTTTGTTTTATCTCCTTTTGTTATATTGCCTAAATACTAACAAAATTACAGGTGCAAACAAACAAAACTTCTCACTGTAGGCTGATCTGAATGTATCTGTTCAAACATTGGGTGCTACTGGGAAATAATACCAGTGACAGTAAGGAAATCATTTAGCTAATGCATAATACATATTTACCATATTTACCAAATTTCATGCGGATGTACTCATAGGGGTCCTCTTGCCAGAGCTCTTCATCCTCATCTTTATAACACATCAGGGAAAAGATCACTTCTTCACACACAGTCTAATAGGAAAAAAGGCAAAGAGAATGTTCAACAGAGCAAAATCGCATTATTAATCATTTAAACACAAGTCCTCACCCCAACAAATCATCATCATGAATCCTTCAACAGTACAGTGTGCTGCATACTGGACCCACCAAATCCAGCAGCTAATGCAATGATGTCACATCACATGCTTTACATTACTAAATGTTATCAGGCGGGGATGGGAGATAGATACACACAGAGAGAGAGCCCACTCCAAATCCTACACATGGTGTGGAATAAAATACAGATAAATGAAATAAATATGCTATTGACTGGTTATTTCTGTCCAAGTGACTGCATTCCCATTATAGTAATTGCAATGTTAATTATTGTAATTAATTTTTCAAGCTCCAACATCACATGAAAAGCTCTAGCTCAAATCCTCAGTATTTGTGCAGGGACACCAATCACTATTTTTGTATTGACCTGCATATGTGGTTTCATTTGCTTCCAGGTTATACAGTGATTGACCCCTTGGTTCAGATAGTTTAATGTTTGCTGAAGGACACGTGGTGCAACATACTCTTTCTTCCTATATTGGTCCAAGATTTTTAGGAGCACCTAAAGGAAAAACAACATATATCAGGTTGCATTTGAAAATCTGTCCTTAAAATCAGAACATTGTGATTGTTTCCATTACCACCATCATCCCTGAACATGGTAGCCATGGGAAAGATTTGCTGTAACAACATACAACAGGGCCCAGCAACTGGAAGCCCAATGGTCAAATCTGAGGACCTATTGACCAAAATGGAGGCCAGAGAGGTGCAAGTGGCAGCTACAATAATTTTTTTAAAAATCAGCAGTTCATTTTGGGGAAAGGGTCACCCTGGAAAACTAAGGGCTATAGCTCAGTGATAGAGCAGACGTTTTGTGTGCAGAAGGTCCCAAGCTCAACCAGGGCTGGAAGATAACCCTGTCTGAAACCCTGGAGAGCTGCTGCCTGTCAATGAAGGCAGTGGTCTGACTCAGTGTGAAGCAGATTCCTAACAAGTTCCTGGCAAGGGGGGTCTAATTATTAGATTGTATGAGGCTTCTACCTAGAGAGCACTAACCATCTGTGATTATCCTAAAATGGCCCTGCGAACAGTTTCACTATGAGTGCCCTCCCCTCTTTACCCAGGTTCCTGGGGTGCATCTGCTATTCCTTCTGTTCTGCAACAGCAAATTACTCAAGCAAGGGAATGAATGCCTTAAATTGGGGATGGGAAAACTGTGGCCTTCCAGATGCTGTTGGACTCCATCTTTCATCAGCCCCTGACAGCAAGGCCAATGACTAGAGATATTGGGATTTGCAGTCCAGCGTCATCTTAAAGACCACAAGTTCCCCATCCCTGCATTAAAGAAATGATACATAAAGGACAAGTAAAAAATTCCTGCTGTGGAACTATCATACAAATAAAATAAATGGGAGATGTTTACCTGTTGGATTCCCACAGCGTAGGTTTTCAAGAAGAACTCAGAAAATTCAAAATATTCTTTTGTTACATTCCCAGGACTGCCATACCTTGAAGAAAGAATCCAAAGCAAGTACGCAAACTGAAGGTTAACGTGTACACATGCCACTAAAGTTGATCATGTATAAAAGAGGGCTCAGAATAACCCTGGACACCAAAGGAAGAAGAAAAGCAGGGAAGCAAAACCTAGGACCATTCAAGGCAACAAGGATGCATGCACTCACTGTGACTCCCCTTGGCTAACTACATGCAGGTGTTATACCCCACCTATAGTAAAAGACAGATTTCACATTAGGCAAACTGGTCTTCTCTTAAGAGCTGAAAGAATGATGTGACAAAGATGTAAAGGTATCACCCTACTAAAGAAGGCCTTCATATCTTGTGACTTGCACTTCTTGTGTACAAAGCCAAACACAGTCCACCCACCATGCATTGTGGCTTGCCCAACTTCCTGACACCCAGGCAAGCAGTAAGATGGCTAATGGGGCAAGGCTTGATTTTGCACGCTCTAAGGTAAAGGTAAAGGTACCCCTGCCCATTCGGGCCAGTCTTGCCAGACTCTAGGGTTGTGCGCTCATCTCACTCTATAGGCCGGGAGCCAGCGCTGTCCGCAGACACTTCCGGGTGACGTGGCCAGCGTGACAAGCTGCATCTGGCGAGCCAGAGCAGCACACGGAACGCTGTTTACCTAGGTAAGCGGTCCCTATTTATCTACTTGCACCCGGGGGTGCTTTCGAACTGCTAGGTTGGCAGGCGCTGGGACCGAGCAATGGGAGCGCACCCCGCCGCGGGGATTCGAACCACCAACCATGCGATCAGCAAGTCCTAGGCACTGAGGTTTTACCCACAGCGCCACCCTTTTGCACGCTCTAGATATATTCAAAATAGCTCTAGTTTGTTTTTGGGTTTTTTGTTATGTAATTTATGTTCTCATTTTATACCTTGTGATCTTTGGAGGAAGGATGATATACAAATTCAACAAATAGTTGCAAGATGAGAAACAGAAAAGGAGCAAAAGAAAATATTCAATGGAGATCTTCAGTAAAATTCGTAAAACTTTTTCAAAAGATGTGAACAAAAGTGTGAAAGAACATACAGAGCTTGTTCAGACACAATGCTAAACCTTGGTTTACCGTTACAGGCACAAGTGACTATGACTCTCTCATACACACACCCCTCTGGTGCAGCCATAAGAAGTTTGGAAGTTTCTGCTCCTGTTTTAGATTTGTAAGGATACTTTTTTACATTAAATCAGAGTTTTCCAAACTTTTAGTGTTGGTGACACACTTTTTAGACATGCCTCACTTCACGACACAGTAATTCAGTTTTACTAGCAAACCAGAGGTTAAACTAACCCCTTTCCAGCCCCTGGAGGGGTGCAGGGAGTATTCATGCAACACACAAATGTGTCACGACACAGAGTTTGGAAAGCTCTGCATTAAATATATAGAAAAATGACTGAAGTATAGTGTTGAGAAAAACAGAGTTCAGAAAATCTGCTCTAGTTAGCATTTTACCTTTCAAAAAGGCGAGCAACAATCCGCAAAGCCCATTTCTTACATTTCCACCATACTAGTTCTGGCCTATCATCTTCATCAATCTGCAGAGTCTCCTAATGAAAGGAAATAACTATCAGTCAATGTGTACACAAATTAACATTGAACATTAACAAAATTTATATATATATATATATATATATATATATATATATATATATATATACACACACACACACACACACACACACACACACCCCCACCTAGAACCAAAATTGGCTTTGAAGTGGTTTACATAGTATTAAGACCAGTTAACACAAACATTAAAATATAAAGATTCATAATCAAAAGGCCCCCACTGAACACAGTGATATTTACTTCTGAATAAACATTTAGGATACCACTGTAAAAAGACTGAAAATTACTTCTTTTGAGACTGTTCTCCGAAACCACCAATACAAAACCCTCAGAATTTGTTACTGAGGCAAATTCCACATGGTTCATACTCTGCAGACTACATTATGCAGGCTGTAGTGTCCACCCCATACCTTTCAATGCGTTATTATGAATTATATCCTGCTTATTTCCTATTCATGGTAAAACTCAAGGCAAGATACATAGGATTCGTAAGCATCTGCCATCCTGGCACTGACTAGATTCAGACCTGCTTGGCTTCAGCAAAGCTGCAGCATCAAGTGCCTTCAGACCCTGCCCTGGCATGTCATAGCATGCACAGAACATCAAGCCAAATCTGTGCATCTTTAAAGCTTGTATAATTTATTGTGCAAAACTAACTTGCATATGTCAAGAACTCCACAGCTTGAGTCTCAATCCTCATGGACTAAGGGTAGGTTCTGGCTAAGCTACATCACTGTACATCCTTAGGTCTTGGAGCAATCTTCAAGCACGGAAGGGAACGGGCAATATCTGCTTCTACAACTGAGTCAACTGAGCAGTACCTTCTGCCTGCTCCACTCCAGCGAAAGCCCCAAAGCTCCAGCAACTGATATCTAGGGCCACTGTGCCAGAACCATGCTTGTTTCCTTCTCCCCATGTCAAGAAGAAGAAGAAGAGTTTGGATTATCCTTCACTCCCCTTCAGGAGTCTCAAAGCGGCTAACAATCTCCTTTCCCTTCCTCCCCCACAACAAACACTCTGTGAGGTGAGTGGGGCTGAGAGACTTCAAAGAAGTGTGACTGGCCCAAGGTCACCCAGCAGCTGCATGTGGAGGAGCGGAGACGCGAACCCGGTTACCCAGATTACGTGACTACCGCTCTTAACCACTACACCACACTGTCAAGGCAGCCAATGGCCCCAAGCCCAGCCTGGTCAAAAGGAATCTGGCTAAGTTTTCCATGAAAACCTTCAAAGAGGGAGATTCTGCAACCACACTTGGCAGCACACTCCTGTGCTGATCTGCTTTTATAGAACATGACCCACACAGAGATGCGCCAACACAGGCAATGGGTCCCTTGCAAGTCCTGGGTATACATGGGCATTGAAGCCCAACAGGGCCCAGAGACCGTGAAACAGCCAGAGGCACCACTGTAGTTGGGAGGCTGCAACAGTGCTCCGTTTGTAACAGGGTACCATGAGCAAGGCAGCCAATGGTCACATGTTGTGATGACATCACTCGGTGCTTACAGAGGCCAGGGGGCCAGGTTTGTGGGTGGCACCTGAAGTCAGATTTTCCTATGTATCTTCTTCCTTGTATTTCAGAAACACTATATTCTTGCCAAGGCAGTGGAAAGTGTGAGCAATTGCCCCTGTCCTTCTTTCTGCCTCCTTTTTTAAAACACTGGAACACAACTAGAGGATAAGCCTCTAATAACATTGCAAACGGGGGTGTGTGTGTGTGGTTAAGTTACTATGCCCCTTAAGCTACACTTCCCCCTTTCCTTTTCCCCAAAGGCGTTAGTGTTGCCCAGTAATATAATCCTTACAGGAGGCACACTTCTGTCGATGATAGTCCGGAAAATCTCCATCCACTGAGTCATAGTTTGGTTATTCACCAGCTGAAGTGGCAGTGCATACTGGAATTAAAGAAAGGAAGAAAAAGATGGAGTGGGGCGGGGTGTCACACACAAAGAGTAAAGGTATTGCTGTGTTTCCAGACTATATTATCCAGAGATTACACCTTTTTTTATTAAAGAAAACAATTTATTACACTACTGATACAACACCACAACTCACCTGGATTATTCATTTATTTTTGCTCCAAGAGACAGGGCAGGACTACCTTTCTTAATGCCCTGGGACTGTATGTTATGTGATGGTCACCTGGTCATCCATGGGCAGCAATGACTTTCAGGGATTTATTTAAGAGGAGTGCATCGGAAGTTTCACAGAGGAATACAGAAGAAGCATGGGGGGAAGTGTGGAGGTATTGTGATACACAGAAGTAACAGAAAGGGAATGCAGAAAAGGTGTTCTAAAAAAGGCGTCAGGGCTGCAAATTGCCTCTCCTCATCAGTTTCCCTCCCTGCACAGCAATTAGACTTAGAAAAGAAGGCCCCCATTCATTTGAAGGGAAATATTGGTTTCTACAATGTCCAGGAAGCCTTCTTAAGTACAGAGAGCTCCCCACTTTACACAGTCAAACTGTTTATGCTTACATAGTTAAGGACTTTCTAAAGAGGACTAAATATGTCCATTCCAGGGGCACTTATAAACGCACAGTAAGCCTGCAACTTACACACCTTTAACTTGTGCTCATTCAGCTTTACACACTTGGCAAAAAAATTTCAAAAGAGGAAATTCAGGAAAAAAAGACTTTGGCAATTCCATCTGCCATTACTGTACACCCAATGTGTTTTGACTCTACATGATTTTGGCTTTAGGCACAATCCTCAGAACGTAACCCATGTGCAAGTTGCAGGCTTTATAATCTCTCATTAGCATTTTTTCTTTTCTGAAATACTGTGAAGTCCAGGCCTAAGACTGTAATCTTAAACATCCAAGTTTGTAAGTAAGCAAGCTGTAAGTGAATGAAACACTCTGAAGTATGCCTCTGATGCAGAGGGTCCCCCACCCCCACCCCAGAACTCTCTATAACCTGATTGCTTTACGTGCAGAGGCTCATACCTGAACAAGTGCATAGAAAATCTTTAAGATCTGTTTCTGAAGGAGCACAGAGTAATGGGAGTTGTCAGGAAGGAGCTGGATTGTCTGCTGCTGAATCCGAGGCAAGAATATCTGCATTGCAGCGATGAGGGGCTCTCTCTCCTCAGCCTTCTTGTATCTGCAGAAGCAGCCAGACCCAGAAACAATTAGGGAGCAAACTTTTACACTTGTCCTAATTCTTCTAATTTTAAGGAAAAGATTCAGTATTGCTTGCCATCCTTCCACCCCTGCCGGACCATTTTTATCCATTTTTCAGCACAGCAAATCAGAGACATTTTGGCGAATATGCTATAACTTACACAGCTGTACAGCATTATTAAGTAATCTGATAATTACTTGAACCTTCGTGTTGACTCACATATTGCACACAGCAATCAAGCTCTATCTACTTTCATCTGGAAAAAAGCATGAGTCTCTCTTCTCATGTTACTCACTCTGCCCTAACCTTGATGAATGCAAGTATTGCTTCCCATTCGCTAGAGCTGCCTTCTCCTGAGCACATGGGTGGACTCCTGTCTTTCTCCCTCCCCACACATACATTCTACTTTGAGAATTGAGAAGCTATTTCTCCAAGGAACCAGTCAAGGCAAAAGGAGGGGTACATGCATGTACTTGGAGGTGCTCTCCAGACACTGCCATCTGTATGAGCAAGGCTACTGGGCAAGGGGCTTTCCCAGAAGAAGATCCACTTACTCATAGGTCTTCACGAGTTGGTACAGGCACAGCAGACTTCCAAGCCAGCTCCCACTATTGGGAGACTGCAAGTAATAGCCTATTTTGTCCACCACTGCAGTCCAGTGACCTGGGAAGTCATGCTTGATAATAGTGCGGAGACACATTGTCAGCTGGGCCCTGAAAGGTTGGGGAAGAAGAAGAGAGTGTCAGGAAGTAACACGTTCTGGTAAACAGAAGCAAATTTGGGCAAATTCTTTAATTGTATCAGAAACCCAGAGCAAACTTTCTCCTGTAATAAATGCTATCAGACAATCCTCCGCAAAAGGAGAGGATCAGAAACCTTTCAAAAGACAAAGACAGGATGAGGGGATATATGTGAAATCACATTCAGTGTAACTATGGGCAGTATCCAACCACAAAGTTCCACTAGTGCAAGGCCTTTTAGCTATGGATTGGAACTTCCCTGCACATGCCCTGCATGCCCTATAAATCTGCTCTGAAGGGTTGGGGGAAACCCAAGAACAGATTTAGGGGTCATACAGGGAGAGGAGAAGGCAGGGCAGTTCCATAAAACACCTAGAAGTCATTGCACTAGAGTAACTGTTAAGTTGAATACTGTGTAATGAAACCATATTGCTGGTGTCTTCTCCTTCCTCCTCGAGTTATCAGAGAGCAATGGACTAACAAAATAAACAACATACACACAAATTAATGACTACTAGAAACTAAAGCACACAAGATTTGCAAACTTGCAGACCATCAGTCTCTATGATTAACCCAGGGTCAATCTTGGGTGACCTAGAGGCTATATGCAGTGTGACAGTGAGATGGTATCATCCACTGGGCCACCTGATATCCATGAATAGACCTAATGTCTGCAGAGGGCCCATGTGCATATATCCACACACTCAGACCAAATCGCACAGCCCATTTCTGGATTCTGCGTTGGTATCAATCAGGCCTGCACATGTACACAGGAGGCTGCCTTATATCAACCCAGGCCATTGGTCCAACTCAGTAGTGTCCACACTGAATGGCAGCGGCTTTCCAGTGCTGCAGGCGGGAGTCTTTCCCAGCCTATCTGGAAACATCAGAGATTCAACCTGGATCCTTCTGCATGCAAAGCATGCGCTCTACCAAGGAAGTACAGCCTTTCCTCATTACACACTCATGTGGAACAGCTGGCAGGCAGGGTGAGAACAGATCTTTCTTTATCATCTAGACTGGGTCAAAAAAGGATTATAAAGAGTTTTCTTTATCTACATCTGGGAAACAAAACTTCCTCGGTGTGACAAAAGGATATAATATTTTAGCTTTAATTGCCCTTTGTTCATTAGCCTGCCTCTCTACAATTCTCATTTAGACCTTAACATGAAATATCCAAACCATCTTCTTTAGAAACAGCTCTCTGGGAAGCCTCCACTTAAGAATGATTACAGAAGTGACTCCAAGTCCTTTAGCTTACTTTCCATTACCCTTCCTAACCCATCACCTCCTGGAAAACCACAATTTTCAAAAAGAATTATACAGAGTAAAAACTGACGTAAAGTAGCATGATCTGCATAATTCATACCTAATGGAAGCATTAGTTCTCCCTGGAACACAATTCAGGGATTTCCGATGCATGTCCCCAAGCCTGACATACCTCACTAAGTCTGGAGAACGAATAATTCCTTCCACAATGTTATCCCGAATCTGTTGCCGATCATTTTCATGAATGTTGAATGGAAATATCACTTCTCCAGGTGGTGGCTCTCGGTCTGGCCAGTACTGCGTCACCATGTTCTTCAAGTAAATAGCAGCTGAAGTGAAAGAAGAAAAACATCCCTAAGTCCTAGTGTCCTAGCATGTGGAAGACTGCTGAATATTTTTTTAAAAAAAAACCAAGGTCCGAATGCAGCCCTTATAGAGCCCTTGGGACTCTCCTCACAGGCTCTTTACTGCACCCTCCTTGTTTTGCTGGAACATGTTCTGAACTTTAGGTCTCAGTAGCCAAGGCAAGCAAACCATCAAAGTAAGAGACGGTAGCTGAATTTGGATATTTATGACTATCAAACCAAATTCTATCTGGATATGTATGACTATCAAACCAAATTCTAAACATAACACATAGAAATAATTTCTGCTCACCCGCCTGTCGGACTGGGAATTCCACTTGATCAGAAACTATTATTTGTAGCAGGCTGGGAGCAAAGTTGATGATCTTGTAGGACTGAAATGCATAGAAAGTCAATCAGAAAAGCACCATATATTGTAAAACAAGTTAACCTGTAGTACTCTCCTTCCTTGGGGTTTTTTTTTAGCAGAGGTTGGATAGCCATCTGTCATGTATGATCTAGCTGAAATTCCTGCATTGCAGGGGGTTGGGCTAGATTATGCTAGGAGTCCCTTCCAACTATACAATTCTATGATTCTTTATTGCCATGAATAAGGAAAATATTATTTCCTTCCAAATCAGATGTTCTCCTGCAAAGTTAAGCAGTTTGAAGTACCGGTTTGAAGGGCTGAGCATGCGGTGGACACACTCCAAATGAAAAGCTGGCTAAGACACAATGGGTTTTGTTCTGCTCTTGAATCCAGTTGTGGTTTTGACCATTTTTTTCTTTAATAAAATTGGAAAATAATAATACTATTTCCACCTCCAAACTATAAGCAACAGCAAAGCTGCTGCTGCTTCTTGCAACAGCAAAGCTTCTAATAAAACACTATTACCTTCATAAACAGTTGAGAAGTACAAAGTACATTCAAAATATTAGTTTCCTATATTAATTTTATGCAACATATTTTTAAGGTAGTTTTCTGTGCTGACTTTTACATACTTTCTTGAGGATCAGGAAATAAATTAAAATAACTGGAAGAAGGAAAAAAGGTGTCAGCCTGGCCACAGTCATTCTGATGGAAGTTTCCAGTTATCACTGGAAAAGGCATTTTCCGATATCACAAAAAATCAAGTCAACTAGAGCACTCAGGAAAATTATTCTGAGTGATTGAGCTTCTAAGTGAAAAAAGACTGCTGGATATGAAATCACACAACATTAAAACCCTCTAACAATTTCCAAAGTTTCTTAAATTGTTTCTCTCCCATCGCTCATATTTTATTTGAACTTTAGCCGCTGGGGCAGGAGAGTAGCTGTATACTGTACTGCCCATATCACTCCTACATTCACCTAACTCCACCCACTTGAAATATATTTTATTTGCAGTAGGTGGATGGCCTTTGACTTGATATGACTGACTGGGTTGCCTTCACATCCCCTCTTGGTTCAACCAAGAACCCTCTAGTTTCCCAGACCCTCTATTTTCTGCCAGATTCCACTGTACCAGGCACTCTGCAATAGCACAAGCACAAAGGAAATGCAAGACCAGGTACTGATGGATCAGCACCAGTCACTAATGGAGTTCATCCTAAGAAGTCTGTAGCTGTTGCATTCTTTTGACGACATTTCACTATACTTAACTCTCCCAAATGGGAACTGCATTAGCATCACTGTGGCATTGATTTACTAAAATCTGCTAGAAGGTTCCGAAGACCTCATTCAGCAGTTGGCAGCTAAATGTGTCAGCATGTCAAGGACAAAAGTAAAACTGTAACCGATCTGATCCTCTTTAAAAATGAATACCTCCTTTGCTGTTCATCCAGGATGAATGCCACAATATACGTTGGATACCTTTTTTAAAAAAGAAAGCCGAAATCTGGGTATCAGAAATTAAAGCAAGAGAGAATTATGGATAAAGGGCAGAATTCCATCTGGGTCATTAAGGCTCTCCTTTGGCTTCTTTCAAAACAAGCAGTGAAAATAAGAAGCTGCCTTATATCAGACCATTGGTCCATCCATCTCATTATTGTCTATACTGAGTGGCAGCAGCTTTCCAGAGCTTCAGATCAGAGACTTCCCAATCCTACCTGCAGATGCCAGGGACTGAACCTGAGACCTTCTGTATGCAAAGCAACTGCTCTACCACAGAGCTATGGCCCCATAACATTAAACACAGATGATGCATAACGATAGAAAAAATAATAGAAATAATAATAACTCAGATTGCCTCCCCCCCCAATTTAGAAACTTGATATTTGAAGCTTCTGAATCACGCAAATGTGTCCACCTTCCCTGGAACCTCTCCCTCTGCTGAAATTAGGCTAAAAAGAAGCATTCTATTGTAGCAACTAGAATAGGGCATGTGTGGGGTGCCCACAACTGTTGTCCAGATTGCAAATGTACCCATCAGGTTGGCGACTCCTGACTTAGGAGCTGTCAGTTGCTGGCCTTTCTTTTATTACCCTTCTGCAATGAAGGCCAAAGGTAACATATACTTCAAACAACATAATGTTGAAAATTGCATTCTGCTCTTCTTCTTTTTAGAAAAAGTATGGAACCAAACAAAAGCTAGGAAATTAAGCTTTCATTGACACCACCCCCATCCGACCATTTTTACATTCATTTCCATTGTCAGAATCACAACCAAATGAACATGTTATGTGTATTTATATGCAGGAACTGAAAACTTTTAGGGCTAGTTTGGATGCAAAGATGTGCCGGGGGGTTGCAGTCTGTATGCCCTGTCAAAGTTGACTTGAGTAATATACTGCTTTGTGTTGATATCTTTTTACATTATGAAAATTACAAAAAAAGCTTTGTACAAATAAAGCTACAAGTTGGCATTCTGACGAGTTCCTGGATCTTTTTTATCTAAAGTAGATATGTATACAAGCTAAGAATTCTTGGATCACGGGAAACATGTTGATTCCAAGCTGAAATTCAACAACCTTCTGCTCTCTCAGGTATCATGGCTTTGATTTTTTTTTATATGACTCTTTTTGAACAATCCAGTTACCACAGAATCTTGCCATTGGCTTGTGAATGATTTGGGATCTTGTATCCTAATCTAATACAACTGTCACTCATGTGGTTGCTTAGCAGTAGTTTTGATCATTAAGGGACTGTGAACTAACCTTCAATGTACAAGTATAATGATTCCATAAAGTGAGGCATTTTACTTTGACATGCAAAGCAATCCTATACATGCCTACTCAGAAGGAAGTCCCACTGAGTTCAGTGGGGCTTGCAGCAGAGGTTTACTGCTTGCTGATTTGTAATTAATTTGGCAACCTTTAAAAAAGTTGGAAAAGTTCACAATCTAATTTCAAAATATCAAAATTCCGGAGGGATGGTGATGAAGAAGTCAACTTGTCAAAAAATAACTATGCTGAAGAATCATAGGAACTACCATAGGTTGTAGCATGAAGGAATTTCACCACCAAAAAATGGTTAGGATGGTTTTAAAAAGTTGCGAAATTAAAAGCCACAAGTCTAAGACCTGTAGAGTACCTACAATACCAACCAGGGAGCCCAAAATTCCCAAACGTGTTGTCAACCTTCAAAACTTGAGATGTCTGCTTAAAAGCCAAACAAAAGTGAACAGAACTTTCAGTGAGGTTGCCATGTCAGTCTGTTACAGCACACACACACACACACACACACACACTTTTCTCTTAAAACAGCAACGTCTTCTGGCCCCCTGTAGATTGACATATCTTTAAGGTCCAAACTAGTCTTGTATCTAAGAACTAGCCTAATAGCCATAGGTGACATGTAGGCAAGTGAAAGGATAGCTGAAGACAGATGAAATACAGTATCTTGTCCCTTCTTTTCTTTTTCGATGTACTTTTTTTCCCAAGGGAACAAATAATCAGCACCATAGTATTTACAGGTCTCACATCTGGTGTTCTATTGGAAAACCATTTTGGATGCAGGTGGTCACAGAATATGCCAGAGGGAAGCCCCCTTGGACAAACCCAGCATAGCAACTTGGGCTGTTTGCATACACCCCATTCAAAGCACATGCAAAGCACAATGCTTTCCCCTAAAGAATCCTTGGAACTTTTGCTCTCACAGAGCTATAATTCCCAGCACACTTAAACTACAGTTTACGGGGGAGGATGTGCTTTAAATGTATGGCTTGTACACGGTCATAGTATAGAGCTGCTGTTGCAGGGACAGAGCTCTCCCTCCCTCCTCTGCCAGCCCCCAGCAAGCAAGTAAACGTCTTTTGCAGGCAAGCAAACTCTGCGGGATTATTTACAAGGCCGGTGGTAAGCTTCCCAAGGTTAGAGATCTCTCATTAGATTTGTGTGGGCTCCAGTCCATGAAAACATGCACAGTAGTAAATAAGGAAGTCTGCAAAGTGCCTCCCACAGCTCCCACAGGCTCCTTTCTGGACAGAGTCCTCTGGTGCTGAAAAGACCAAAGGGCGCTTCACAGGGAGGAGGGGTCAGCTTTTGTGGCTGAGAGACCACCCGAGGTCCTGGCTGGGTGAAACCTGGATTCAAATCCCACACTCAACCCAGGAAAGCTGGCTACGTGATCCCAGAGCCAGCCACCCTCTCTTTGCCTAAACCACCTTACAGCTTGGCTGTGAGGCAGGAGCGCCTGCTTGGGTGCCTGGGGCCATGGGTGCCGTGCATCGTGCATTAGTCCTGGCTCCGGGATTTGTGGGTTCCCGGCCCCTTGGCACCTATACCGTGAGGGATAAAACACGGGAAGAGGAGGAGGAGGCGGGACAGGAATGTAGGCGAATAGCCGTGTAAATCCGTTAAGGAAACCGCTAGGCTGTTTTCGGGTGGGGAGGTGAGCGCTGCGCGCCTGAGGTGCAGTGACAGGATTCTCCTCAGAGATGGAAAGAGCGCGCCCACCATGGCGAGGCAAGAGGGGGAGGAGAGGAGGGAGGCCGCCCCCTGAGGGGGAAACAAAGCCCCGTCCTCCGCCGAGGCCTGGCGGGAGGGGAAGCAGCTGATCCCCGAAGTGCCTCCGCCGCGATCCCCTGGGCGGGTCGGGGGCGGCGAGGGGGGCCGGAGGCTGCGCTCTCACCTGGTTCAGCTCGCTCTCGGCCGCCAGGCGCAGCTTAGGGTCGATGGTGCCCTTGAGCGCCTGGATGATCCGGTTGGGATCCATGTCTCTCCGATGGCGGCGGGCGGGTGGGGGGAGAAGGACAGGCGCCTCAGAGAGAAGGGCCGCCGCCGCCGCACACAATCCCCAGCTCGCCTCTCCCCCTTCGCCACACGGGAGCCATTCACCGGTTTACGACAGCGCGGCTGTCGCGAAGGAGAAGATGCTTTGCGCCCCGGGCGCTTTCCTTCGCGTCTCTCCTCCTCCCCGACTCTCTCGCGGTGCCCGAATGGCAGGCGCCATGTTGTTGTACGGAAACGAAACACACATTGCCGAGCCGAGAGAGCAAGAGGGGGTCTAGCAGCCGCTCCCGCCCTCTCCCGGCTGTGGACTTTGTAAAGATGGGGGCGGCCATGGTTTGTTACGGAGAGCATCCGCTTGTTGGAGCAAACGGGGGCTTCTCTCCTCCTTCCCTTGGCTTCCAGCTGATATGGGAAAGCAGGGAGGCCGATGCTACGAGGACCTGTTGCTGGGACTTCGCTGGAGGATCCATTGGCCCGGCAGGTTGTGGCGCTTCAGCTCTCCGAAAGTGTCTCACGTGCTCGACAGGGAGTGGCGCGCAGCCCTCCAGCTGCTTTGGGCAGCGATTCCCTCAGTCCCAGGCTGAAATCGGCAGAGGCCCTTCCTTATTTTTGGGTACTAGCTAGAGGGAGCAAGCTGGTCCTCACAGGTTGAACTTGACGTGGGTTTTAAAGGGGTGTGACAAGAGACCACATGCGCAAAGTGGATGCTCAAAAAGGCGAAGGCTCTTATGTGAGTGCTTAGGGATTCCTCCCAGCCTTTCGCCTTTCTGCCGCCCCGCTGGGGTTTGGGCAATGCCCGCCCAGCCACCCTCCCCAAAACAGAAGCTGCAACTTGCAGCTTCTAATATGTCATATCCCATTCTATGATCTTCAGTTGCGAGCAACTTTGAGGGGAAAACCGCCCTGAGATCTCCGGGTATAGGGCGGTATATAAATTCAATTAATAATAATAATAAAGGGAAGCTTACAAATATTGAGGGTGGGGGAGGTAATCAGTCCATGTTATCTTGCAAAGTAATATAGGTGCATTAGGCTCATAGTAAAAAAAAGTTATAAGTAGCACCTTAATTTGTTGGTTTCCAAGGTCGCACAAGCCTCCTTTTTACCCAGAATATTTCTTTTTTGCTACAGACTGTGGGGGGAAACGTGGTGCTACTGCTTGTTTAGTCTGACCCGCCAAACATTTAAGGTGGTGTGTACACAGCCACACCCATTGTCGTCATCCCCCGCCAAAAAAAATCCTGGGAACTGTAATTTCCCCCTCACATAGCTACAGGATTCTTTGTGATAAAAATGTACTTCAAAAGATATTGTGTGTATGCCGAGTACTAGAACATTGGTCCAAAAGAAGTCCACCTAGAACTCTTGTACTCATCACTACAATATTGACACACATTTAGATAAAATTTATGCTGGCAAGAGAAGCACTCTCCTTGTTGTATGTATGAATAAGGGGCATATACACTTTGAGTGGCAGGTAAGGATTTCTTAACTATATGTGAAGCAGTCTCCAGCAGCTTTGGTGACAGTGTAAGCATAACATAGTCCATTTCAGATCCAGGAGTTCACATAGTGCTGTATGTGTGAGCCAGTTAATCATAGAATTGTAGAGTTGGAATCCCAAGGGACATCTAGTCTTCCAATCCCTTGCAATGCAGGAATCTCAACAATGAAAGTGTAGCAGAGGATATGAATATTGGGTATAGTGTTTGATCTTCAACACAGCAACTACTAAAAAAAAAAGACAAATGCACACTAGCTTTTTTAAAAAATATATTATTAGAGATAGATAAATTATTATGGTCGGAGACCAGCTTATAAAACACACTTGGGGGAACGGTCCCAGAAGGAAAACAAACAATTAAAACAATCTACAACAATAAATTTAAAACTTATAAATGCACCCAGACACTGAGGTCCAGCTCTGAGGGCCTTATGGGGGTTCCCTCAGTGCGAGAAGTGAGGTTACAGAGAACCAAGCAGAGGGCCCTCTAGGTAGTGGCACCCACCCTGTGGAACGCCCTCCCATCAAATGTCAAGGAAACAAACTACTATCCAACTTTTAGAAGACATCTGAAGGCAGCCCTGTATAGGGAAGTTTTTTTATGTCTAACGCTTTACAATTTTTTATGTGCTGTCTTGGCTTGTTTGATTCCTTGTTTATTTGCAGGTGTGGGGTGTGTCACTTCACAACTTCCCCTTGCTCCATGAAATAGCGCACCCTGCACTTGCAGATAAACAAGGAAGCAAACAAGTCAAGACTTTACCATTTTTTTGAATGCAGTTTTGAATGCACTATAGAATTGTGTTCTATAGTGAATACTGCATTTAACACCCTTTTCGCATAATGGCATCAGAAGCCAGCAAAAAACATGGTAAAACAAAAGTTTTCAGCATGCACCAGAATTACACCATTTGAATCATGCGTTTTCCAATGGGGAGGCCATTCCATGGAGTGGGTGCCACTGCAAAAAAGGTCCTCTTCCTAGTTAATGCTAAATCCAAGGCTGTGGCACAACCAGAAAGACCTCTGTTGTGCAAATCTATATGGGAGAAGACATTCTTTCAGGTAACCTGATCATTACAAACATTCTTTCACATGTGTACTGGTCATCCCCATCACAAAACGTGGGATACGTGTAAAGATAAGAACCTATCCCTTATCTCTTTTTGCTGTATTCAGTAGCGCCTCATATGCAAGGAAATGTGAAGTTTGAGGCTTTACATTATATAAAAACTAAAGAATGAGCATAAGAGGCATAATAAAAGTTAAATAGGAAGAAAAATATTTACACGCTATGAATACTAGGTGCTGCCGTTCTGCTCCCAACTTCAAGGGCTTCCCAAAAGCGCCAAGCTACAGGCAGGAACAGAACGCTAACTATAAGGAATTCCACCCTGACCCAGTGAAGGTGTTCAGTGGGGTAGGAGGAGGGGACATAGAAAAAAGAGTTACAATAAACAAGAGTGCACAAAGGAAGGAAATGTTAGAATTTAAAACTAGGCAAGAATGCTACTTGCCCAAAAATGGAAAGTAGTCCCAGCAAAGGAAGAATAGATACAAAAACTTATGGAATATGCAAAAATGGCGAAACTTACTGGAGGAATAAGAAATCAAGATAACAAACTTTTTATAAAAGAATGGTAATGGTTTATTGAATATTTACAGATAAATTGTTAACAGATAAAAACACAGGCAGGATTACTGTAATAACCTGCAGCTAAGCAAGAGTATATATTAAAAGAAGATAAATAAGTTTGGATATGCAGAAGATATTAAAAATAAATTTAAGGAATCGCAGAGAAGGGGAAGGAAGTCAAGTTTTAAAATGTCAAAATGATTGTAAAATCAGTGAAATGCATATATCTGAAAAGTATAAATAAAATTTAAAAACGGGGTGAAAGAACTAACCATCAATGTCCATTCTCTTTGGGAGAATGGAGTGAATCTGAGTGTGGGTTACTGTAAGCAAAGCTGTGTAAATGAGTTTCAGATGCACTGCCTGTTTGTTGGCTTTGCATAGCTCCAAAATGTCTACCCTCCTCAGCTGTGCTTTGGCAATGGGTGATAGGCATTATAGTCCACCATCTGTAAGGCCACAGGGTCCCTTTCCCTGACTTAGGGAGAAGGAGCTCATTAGCTGTCAAGTAAAAGGCAACACTCCCAGAACAACTTGGGAGCTGCGGTCCCCTTTTTGCAGCTGAGACTGCCCAGGTTTTTCCCCCCTCCAAGTTGTCCCACTACAAGGAAGCTTTCTTAAATCAGAAGTGCTGTTGTGAGGGTAAAATTGCAGTAATTGTACAGGCGGGAAGCAGATTCCCTCCACCTCCCTTTGGGAAAGTAAGGGAGGGAAGTAGCAAACTGCCCCGTCTGAAGCTGAAGATCAAATAAACACACAGGGTCACTGTAAAAGACTTACAGTGGGAGAGCAAGCAGGAGTGGAACCTGAAATGTATTTGAATAACCCTGCTTATGGAGAGTGGAAATAGCTCAATTCAGGGTGTGCCTCCACATGATAAACAGGTTAAGAAACCATATGCAAAAAATCTGCAGCTAATGTGGCATGGCAGTGCAACGCACACATACTTCAAGACAAATATGCAGATATAAATCTAAAATCGATTTCATTTTACACCCTGGGACAATAAAATTGCTTATGGCCCCATTAATCCTTGGTAAAGGTAAAGGTAAAGGACCCCTGACAGTTAAGTCCAGTCATGAACGACTCTGGGCTTTACTGGCTGAGGGAGCTGACGTTTGTCTGCAGACAGTTTTTCTGGGTCATGTGGCCAGAATGACTAGGCCACTTCTGGCGAAACCAGAGCAGTGCACAGAAGCACAGTTTACTTTCCTGCCGGAGCGGTACCTATTTATCTACTTGCACTTTGATGTGCTTTCGAAATGCTAGGTTGGCAGGTGCTGGGACCGAGCAACGGGAGCTCACCCCATCGCGGGGATTTGAACCACCAACCTTCCAATTGGCAAGTCCTAGGCTCAATGGTTTAGATCACAGTGCCACCCGCGTCTCTTGATACCCACCCACAAAGAATACTGAAGTACAAGGTTCCATATGCTTACTCGCAAACTATCCAAGCAGAGCTCCAGCTGCACTAAAGCTTCCATCCCATTGACCAGTTTTAATATTCTATTCTGACATCTGAAAAACCTTTTAGTTTATACAAAGCAATCCTTCAATTCCCATTTTTACTTTAGTTACAAATCCAATTCTATGTACTTTGAGCCCTTTGAATGTAGAACAGGCATCCCCAATCTGCAGCCCACCAGATGTTTTGGCCTACAACTCCCATGATCCCTAGCTAACAGGACCAGTGGTCAGGGATGATAGGAATTGTAGTACAAAACATCTGGAGGGCTGAAGGTTGCGGATGCCTGATGCAGAACCTTGCAAGGTGGGGGTTTGGGGGGGGGAGTTCCTAACAGTCTAGTCCAATGTGCGGCTTAAGGGCTACATGCTGCTACCAAGGCCTTTTCTGAGAGTCCTCAGCAACATTTGATGCTACCCTCACCTGCAGCCCTCGCATACCCTTCTCAAAGCTTAATTAGTGCTTTCCCAGCTTTAGGAAGGAGGTGGAGGGCTCTAGAACCCTGCCAGAGCCTTGCACCTCCTTCCCAAAGCCAAGTAGCTGTGATGTGTGTCCCAAATTTTGGCCTTGCTTCCTCGTGCACACACACAACGCAGTGTGTGGCCTGTGGGCTCCATGTTGAAGTACTCTTGTGGCCCACTTAGTATGGAAAGTTGAGCTGCCCTGATCTAAAATGTACCCTAAGGTATTAGCAATGTAATCTGCCTAATTTGCATACTGCTTCAAGAAATGTGGTTGAAAAATAGTCTAAACAACAAATACTATTTGAATAGTTTGAACACTTCCTCTCTCTTGCCCAATATTAGAGCAAGAAGCCTAACCACATGTGTGTGACGCTTACTTCAGATAGTTTGAACTCAAGAGAAGTTAAAGAGTTCATCACCTGAAACAGCTGATAGGGAACAATTAGTTTTAGGATGCATTAAAAGCTATAGTAACTTTGGTGATTGAAGAAAACATTAAGAGTGTTTTAAGGCTCAGCTTAGCTCTTTGTACCAATATTCACATATTCAGCATTGGAAAGCTTGCAAGATTTAAGCCTTCTAGATGAAAACCTTGCCTTTTATGCTATGAAACGAGTGGCTGGGACAATTGCCAGTATACAGCCACACAATCAGCTCCAGAAAAATGAATGTAGGACATCCTACACCAAAAGTCTTAAAAGGGCAGGACTTTGTTTCAAGTGAGCAAAGGAAGACACTACCATAAGTGTCACTTAAATCTATTTAAAAGGCTATGCATGAGCTAGTTTTTGTGTTAGTGAGAAGCTGAACACTGATACAACAGAGCAGTTCTAAAGACTGCTTCATGGGCGGCAGAAGTAGCAGGTAAAGGTTTTATCCTTTAAGATGCAAGTCAGATTCTACACACACACCCCCATGTGCGCACCGTGGGCAGCTATACTAGCATATCCAGCTCTTGCTGTTGAAAACAGTATTCTTGCTAACATGTCATATGCAACTAAGTGCCAACAGCAGCTCTTAATTTTAACAAGTGTTTCAGCAAAGGACTAAAGACAATTACCCCGTACTACAGAGGCCCATACATCCATGTGTGCAAAAACTAGTCAATGTAGACATTGACCTGAAGAACTTTCAATTAGTTAAATAGCAGCAAGAAAAAATGAGAACTGGTTTAGAGTGTTGCCCCAGATATAGAAGGACTTCTTTCCAAGTAGCAGCACCGGTAGGTATCAAGGAGGCAGCATTATCAGTAGGACATGGAACTGCCAGAAAACAATTAGGACTAGTAAAATATCACTTGAAATATTTTTGGGATTACATTTACTATTACATTTCCCAGTAGATGTGGAGTTCGTTCTCTCTCTCTCTCTCTCTCTCTCTCTCTCTCTCTCTCACACACACACACACACACACACACACTGCAAGAAAGAATGACACTAACTTTGAAGCTTACCCATGTGTTACATTCACATCAGCACAAGCTGACTACACCTGTATAAACTCTATAAAGTAATGGGGAAAGGTAACTTTGAAAGTCATCCAACTTCTTGCTTTGGGCTGTATCCAACCAATTTCTACTTAGAGCTGACCCTTTTAAATTAATGGACCCAATTCAGCCAAGGGCATTCATTTCAGTGGGTCTACTCCAAGACTTAGATTGCATATTTTTATAAGGGAAAGTAAGAACATATGAAGCTGCCTTATACCGAGTTGGACCCTTGATTGGTCATCTAGTTTTAGAAGTCTACTTTGACAAGCAGCAGCCGCATCCTTTTAGGTGGGAGTTATGAGGACTGAGTCTGGGATCTCTTGCATGCAACGCATATACTCTATCATAGAAATGTCGCCCCCTTAGAATGTGCACCCAGCAGTACAGACATTGATACTAAGGCATATTTTTTTTATTGAGGCACAAGGCATTGTGAATAGCCTAGACTTGAGGCAAATTTTGAGCAGTGTAGTAAGCCGATAGTTACAGTTCAGGGAGAAAAGCAAACATACATTCACAGCTTTACTATCAAGACTACATCAAAACTGATAAAGTGCCACATTTGTGCTGACCCAACTCCATCTCACAGCAAGACAGTTCACCATATCCCATTTCAGAATTATGTGGGTGTGTTTTAAGCAGTTAATGTGCAGTGCAAAACGAGTCTTCCCAGTTTTCACCTTCCTTCACCAAATTGTTTAGAGCAGATCTATTGTTAACATTAGTATTCAGTCTTGATACAGCACAAATCCTGAGAATGTAGAGTACTTCCAACTACTTCCATAAATAGCTCCTCTATGGAGGCGTAACCAAATCTGGTCTCCCTGAAACAGCTGGAGGACTGCATGATTACTAGCAGTCTCATGATCTGGAGCACCATCATTGGCATATGCAGATACTAGAATCTCTTCATTTTTCATCAGGTTCACATACAGCGGAACATTCACAGCCAACTTCAGCATACTGAAGAGGAACACATAAGTACCATTCACAGGACAACTAAACCTACCAAGATGGATATTAAAGGCTTCACCAAGATTGTGTAACAGGGAGTCAAATGTAATAGGTTGGTCTAGAGTTCCAGGAGTAAAGTTAGAAGTTCTACTAGCCGAAAAGGCAGCTCTGACTTGCTGTGGGAAGGCATAGATGTGCACAGGTACAAAGGTGGTTGCTTGGCTCGTCACTGGCATATCAACAGGAGTAATGCTGCGTGAGTCACCCTGCCCAGAGTCCCCACTGTCAAAAGTCTCACTGTCACGTTCTGGGCTGCTCACCTGAGAAGAATCGCTCCATCCTGTTGTTGAAGATTATGAGCAATGGTTAGTTCTGACGTAACCTTAAATTCAGTATTTCTAGCACTCGTTTGTTCAAGCTTGCATGTTTCAAGCAGTCGTTAAAAAAGACCTTGTGTATTAGTGACTAGACCGATCCCAGTTAGACTTGTACCTAGTTCTTACAAGTTTTTAATCATTTTTCTTCAAAGTGAGTGTGGAGATGAATACAATGTTAGAGAGGCTTGGGTGTGGGTTTCTCAGCTGCAAAGCAACTCCAGCTTCACTCAACCAACAAATATACAGCCTCTGGATTGAGTGTGTTCCTCATGCTGCTGCAAGCCAGCTATGCTTTGGTTGCTGTGCTTTATTCATTCTCCCCACCCCATGCTCATCTGCTCCAGTATTTGTTCAGTATTTTAAAAATCTTCTCCACTAATGGCAAGATAACCTCCAAAACACACAGTGGCTCCCTGACTGGCAGCAGCTGGTGCTGTGCTCTGAAAAAAGCAGAGCTGCTTCCTGGCAAACACAAGGGCCAGTCTATCAGCACGCTGCAAGTCCAGATTTCCTCAGCGTTCCCACCTCCTTACTCTGAAAACTGAATGTGTGTGTCAGATATGTAACAAGTGCACTTCCACAGCAAGCTTAGCGTTGAAATGATTCAAGCTTCTCTTCACCCAGAAAGAGTAGCAGAGGTTAAGATGACAATGCAATAGTTCTACTATTATGTTTATGGTGAATAAGCCGTGGCTACATGCTCACCTTGGAAATCAAGACAAATACTTAAATATCTAGTTAACAGAAAACACATATCTTATAAATGTGTGTTTATTTAGTATAGAAAACCAAGTTACCAATATCAACTGAACTGTTAATCAACACTAACTGAACTGATGCATCCTCGTGGCCACAAGACTGCTTTCAGACTCTGCTTCCTTCCCATTTCTCTCAGTTTTCCTCAATTCCCTTCTTCTGAAGTATTCTCTAACACGAGTTCTACCTCGAGCTCTACCTGATGAGCAATTCTCTTCCTGTCTGTTTTCTTGTCTGTAACCTAAAATACAGAAGCTTTAAGGATTTTATAAACTCTGCACCAAGCTGCTAATATGGCTAGACTGGAGGAGCAACTTCAGTACTTCTCCTTGATAATCTGAACAAACCATTAGGCCTACTTTAAATCACCTGTGTATAAAGTGGGCTTACTACTGGCTTGAGACAATAGTTACAGTGAAATGGTTGCTGTGAACTGTTTATTTAAGCTAGTCTTGGATTCTCTCAAGCAGAGGTTGACAACCTGGTCCCAAATGCCAACTAGTGTGCATGTCAGGATTCTAGGTGGGTGGTAGGGGGTTCTACGGCACAAATTGAATCCTCCTTGCATTGAGCACTGGTGGGCGGTAAGGAAATTTTACCATCAAGAAAGATGCATTAGTGGGCGGTAGGTATAAAAAGGCTGACTACCCCTGCTCTAGAGACTATTTTCTAGTTCTTTTTGCTCATATGATTCTGAGGTATGGAGAAGGCAGAGAGAGAACACTGCCTTTCCATAAAGTTTCCTTTACAGATGGAACAGGACACCCAGTGATGGGCAACTCCCCATCCACCAGAGAAGGCAGAGGGAGATCTCTCATGGTGAAAGTACCACAGCTGAGAAAACCTTTCACAGTTAAAAGCCAAGTATTAAATAAAAATAAGACAAGAACAAATCCCAGGATCTGCTACAAAGCTGGGATATTTGACCGATCCTCCTTGCTTTGGGCAAATGATGAGACATGATCTTCTCTCCATCAAGGAGAGCAGGCTAACTCAACTGAAATGACAACTCTCCCCTTCCCCATCATCAATTTTTAATAGCTCTACAAGTCATGTTCCTGGGCCAGAAAGAATTAGATTCATCTTGTGAGCAGAAATGGAGCCCATATGTTGCATAAGACAGTTGATTCCAGCCAAAAAACATATGCGGTGAAAGCACATCCGATTACTGTATGCAGCCCTATGTTGTTTTATTTCAGGTATTAAATAATATCTAGGACAGAACTGCATTTTAAGCAATGTTTGAAGTAAACTTACCTCTTGAGGTTGCCCGGCCACTACTAATACCACCTCGCTTATAGTTCTGCTGGTAATTCAAATCCTAGGAGAACACAAATATTTGTTCCTGTTTAGTCAAGCACCTCCAGACAATATTTACAGCCATATAACATCTACTTCATGGGGAAGGGGAGGGAGAAAAGAAAATTGCTACACAGTGGTACCTCGGTTTTTGAACGTAATCTGTTCCAGAAGAACGTTCGAGTTCCAAACGTTCAAAAACTAAAGCATTTACTTCAGAAAAACTCAATATGGAAGCTGTGTGGCATGTTTGACTTCCAAAAAGCATTTGAAAACCAAAGCAGTTACTTTCGGGTTTTCGGCACTCAAAAACCGAAACATTCGACTTCTGAGACATTCGAAAACCGAGGTACCACTGTACCAGCATTGAAGCTTATTGCTGCTTAGTAGACATCAGAAGTAGTTAGTCCAACATACTAAATTTCTACCAGCATCAACAGGATGCATATTAAGCACCTATACTTTTAAATTAGAACGTTGGTGCAGTACACGCCGCCATGAATGTTACTTCTTATTGGGTGTGGGAGGTGTCCAAGTGGGTTATGATTCCTTCTATTGCTCAGAAGGAAGGAAACATGATCAGATTTCCCCCCTTTCTCTACTGGTGTGGTTCTGTTCCAAGGCAGAGGTGATGCCGAAACAACTTTGTAATATGAGACAGCGTGAGAGACAGAGTGTGCACTGAAGAACGAAGACGAGGAGGAAAAGAATAAAACAGTATGGCCTGGACCTACTGGTTTCCAAAGCTGAACTTTCAAGAAAAAAAGGCTAGCTAGAAGGTAAAAAAAATATTCTGAAGCATGTATGTCCAACTTGCAATGGTGTATGAAATGTGGCCTAGTTAACATGGCAAATCTGCTGCATTTATAGACAAGGCTGCCAATGTGTAGTGTGTCATGGTGTTGGCAGGTGCAATCACTCATAGAATACAGAATGCAAGTCTTTATCCACTAGGATTGAATTAAAGCCTTTCCCCTACTGTAGTTAGGCAGAAGGACATAACATACTGTTTTGCATAAAGGCAATTGTGTGGGAATGTTGATCTTGAGGACCCAGACATTCCGCTTCTGCCAGGCCCACTCAGAGAGGTGAGATGGTTTAAAAGTTGGATGAGGAGAACCGGTTACTGTGCTCCATGGAAAGACAAGCTGCCCTTAGGAATGAAGGTCAGGTCAGTACAGAATATTGCACCGGTGGGCATTGCTGGCAACAGCACTGAGTTCCAAGATTCTCCAGACTGTTGTGATGGCCATGAGAAAAAGCACACTAATTGACTGACCAGGGGAGCTCAAAAGGCAGTTTTTATAGTGCATTGATGCCCTTGTGGATACCTCCAGGTGGGGAAACCAGTGGCCTCAGGTATATGTTTTAGGGTGGTGTGACTGCATGGCACTTTGATGCACACCTCAACTATGCATCTCCATCCTTTGGGAGGATAGCTCCAGTCAGGAGCAGTGCTCCAGGGGCACCCACTCCTGAGTAGTATTGGGAGAGGACTCCTGGAGAAAGAATATGATCAAATCTTTCCTGCCTTCAAAGCAGTAGGAGGGGCCATAATCCACTTGGCCAACCCTTGCTCCAGTATCACTGCAGCTGACTGAATGTGCTTTATTAAATTGATATGAGTGTATATTCCTTGAAAGTGGAGCAAGTTGTAATACCATTGTAGCTATCCATCAGCACACTGGGAACTCAAAGATAGCTCCATGACACACACATTGACCCAGGCATGGCCAAACTTAGCCCTCCAGCTGTTTTGGGACTACAATTTCCATCATCCCTGACCACTGGTCCTGTTAGCCAGGGATTTTGTGAGTTGTAGTCCTAAAACAGCTGGAGGGCCAAGTTTGGCAATGCCTGCATTAACCCAATAAACTTGAGAGATATAAACGTAAGTCATGTTCTCAGGGTTAGGATGGGAAGCATGAACACTGAATATATTCAGCCCTTTCTAGATGGCATTTCAATTAAAATTAGTCCCTACTAAATGATACATTACAATACTCCTCTCAGTCTGGTAAGTCAAATTTGCAAAGCACCATTAACCTGACTATGTGCAAATAAGTACTTGATCTTTATTCCTGAGCAGAATCCAGGACACCACCACCAAGGGTCATGTATACTTTCGCAAAGCCAAGAGTCTTCCAAAATAATTACCCTGTGAGAATACTGCACTGAAGGATAATCTCTGCCAGGAAGATGCATTTGGCTATAAAGGCCATTAGGAACAGAAGGTGATCCTCTGTAAACTTCAAAACCTGCTGAACAAAATATGAAATCTTTGCTTTAAGAACTAGAATGATTTGACAGATTGATCTCCGTGTCATCCAGTAACGCATTGGAGAACTCTGGTAGTTCCCTCCTAGGGGCAGGTCAAATACCCAATACGTTGCTGAGTACTGAGAGGTTCCGACTCTTATGACATAACTTTGTTTTATGGGTAAAGAGTAACTAGGAAGTTTATCCAGTAATTACAGTGTTAGAGAACTCTTCCTGTGTTAGAAAATTAAGGAGTTTATGACTCACTTTGGCAGCCAGCATTTTCAGGCAAAAGGAGCAATGCTCAGTAACTATGTATCTGACTTCAGTTTGAGCACATGCTTACAACCAAAGTTATTTAGGGTCATTAACACTTAAATTGATATTCACCTAGTTTGCTATACCAAATAACATCCCAGAATTACCACCAACCAAATACATGAGTGTTTCTTGTTGAGGTCAAAATCCAACTAGATATGGACAGCAAATACTGCATTTGATCTTTTGGCTCAAGTTTCTTCCTTTTCACATGATACTACTATTTGGTGAAAGTCACTTAAAAAAACAAGACTAACATTGTGGTTGATATGTACGGAGTTATATTGTAACATATGCAATAAACAATTCTTCTCAAAGAAATAAAATTCTTTTTTTAAAAAAAACAACAGCTTAAAAAACAACCCCCTGCTTTTGCTTAAAGTAATGGATCAACTTCATAGATATCTTATTTAGGCACTTGAAAGTTGCCCATTGAGTGCCTGCCTTTTCAACCTTAAGCTATCAAGCAGCTTACAACAGAGCACCACAAAAGGGTTTGATGCACAGATGCACAGGCAGATGGCTGCTCATGAAATGGGACTTCCCTCCTTCTATTTGTGCATGGTGCGCTTACCAATTTTAGCATTTGACTCCATTCTAACCTCAGCCTCTGTGCTGCAGCCACACTTTAATGAAAGGTCCCAAGTGAGAGACTTCAGGGAACCTGGCGTTACAGCAGAGGAGAGACTAGGAAACCCTGTAGCTCAAGCAACCAACTGCTAACACAGCTTTGATCCAACCCAATATGTCTTACTATTAAAAAACAACAACCATGAGCTAATAAAGTTTTAAAGTTCAGCAGTTTGAATGTTGCCCTTTACTATGTGGTTTTTTGTATTGGCCAACTATATTCTACTTGTACAATGTTAAGATATATCCACTGGTAAGTATTTCCACAGAAACCATACATACCTTTATAGCCACCAGGAGAGCGATATGAATTGGTTGCTGACCTTCCACCTCGAACGGTGCCTCTGACCGATCCACGGCTTGTGACAAAAGGTTGAGGTGGTCTAGAGAAAGTGGGCGTCTGTGCTGCATAAAAGGTGAGAATACCATTGCTTACAGGAACAGCTCCCTCAACCGGGTACTTTAAAAATAGCCTTATAATTTTCTGCATAAAAGCAGGAGTTTCCCTTATTGCTTCACCCAACCTTTAGCAGCTAAAGACTTTCAAGATAGTTTGCAAGTCTTTATTTTGAACAGCTAGAATCATCTCCCCTATTACAATTAACCAAACCACTTCTAGAGCTTTAACTAACTAAAGTTTTACAGATATGTTATCCACCTGCCTCCTTGAAAATCTAATCATGTTTATCATAACAAGTAGTTAATGCAGTTATTTCCAACAATACTTTACTTCATCAAAGGCTGTCACATCAATAATTTGGACTTATTTTTAGAATTTATACTCCACCCCTCAAATATAGGACAGTTTGCAGTAGAAAACATAAGTAGCCACGTTTAAAAAAAGAGCAACAAAAGTTGAAAGCCTAAGAAAATATTCACCTGGCCCAGGAAGATTTAAGGGTGTAAGATTGCAGCTGAATCAGGCCAAAGGCCCTTTTGGTTCAACATTCTGTTCTCACAGTGGCCAACTAGATGCCTACCTATTGTCCTAGCAGGGCATGTGAATAATAGTGCTCTCTCCACCTGAGATTTCCAGCAACTACCCTGGTATTCAGAGGCATGCTGTGACAGTGGGGGCAGGACACAACCACTGTGGCTATTGACTATTGATAGGTTTATCCTCCGTAGGGTATTGTTAAAGAAACAGTCCCAGCCAGCACAGTACAATTTTTTCACTACGTGTCAGATAAGATCATGTTTCCTTGGAGATGGGCAGTTGGATACTGCCAAGTCATCACTCTTCAGTCCTTTTCTACTTCTGCTTTTATAGCCACTAGCAGAGAGCCTTGAAATCATTTGGGTTAAATATTGTAAGGCACCCCCATTACTGAGGAATCAATCAAGTTGTACTCTTGATGTCCCCATTACCATTCTTGCACTGAGGTTTTCCTTACCATTTGGCAAAGCATCTTGAGAAAAAGCAGTTTGTTCAACATTTTGAGTAGACTGTGGTTTACCCTGGGGTGGAGTCTGTGTACTTGCTGTACAAAAATTCTGATTATATCCTGTAGGATGCAAAGAGTTCTCTTTTATATCCCGCTCCCTGCGAGGTGGTAAAGGCGCGTTCACTTTGAACACCTGCAACACAACACACAATTATGCAAAAAAGGGCTATTTTTACAGTGTTTCTATAGGCCACATGCATTATCAAGTCTGCCCCATCTTGTGCTGTGTAGTCTACATAGAGTAGAAATTTAAGTATTTTCCATTTACGCTGGAGTGGGGGTGTCCGGTGCCATGGCCATATCACATTCTACCAGGAATTTGCAATTAATTTCAACTAAGTATTAAGATTGGTACTCCTTATTCACAAGGGTTCTAGTCTCTTCAAGTAGGAACTTCAAGTAGGAACTGTAAAACAGCAATTGTATTATTAGGTCTAAATGCAGCTGTAAGCATGCAAAAAAATAAAGGAATCCCTTCAGGGAATGCTTCTCTTGTAAACTTGTAGTAAATACATCTGCATCTGCTTAAAAATAATAGTTCCTACTAAACATGTATCCTCTATTATACAGGGTGCTCTGTTGTTTCTGAGGAGACCCTGGATTTAGCTTCTCCTTGTTTATGTCTAGCTTTTGCCCTCCCATCTAATTGCATTCACCTAGACAGCCAATGTACTTACAATCTGCACAGCCTGAAAGGGAGGTGCTTTCATGCTAACACTACTACTTGGGGAAGGAGACTGGAAACCCTTCCCTTGGGGTACTGGTGACATGGTAGTTCTTGATGGAGTCAATGATGTCTCTGATTCACTTGAAAGAGGAATAGGAACCTTGAAGGAAAAAATAGTAATATTCTATTGTCATGCCAATGGGAAAGCCATTTACACTGTTAAACCCTATGCTGTCAAAACACCAGCAGTTTCTGCAAGCCAATGGTTGGGCATATCAAAGAACAGAATAGCTTCTACTTCATTTGCTCTTGCTGTGCATTTGGAATTTCCATTAGTCTCTGCTGACTATGTCAAACATGTTTGAGCTAGATGTGTTACCACTTCAAACATTTACATACAGAAGTTTAACATGATGGAGATCCTTATGGCAAAGAACTCGCATTTTAAAACTTACTAGTTTTCATTTTCAGAGATCAACATTATGTAGCAAAGGGATAGCAAACATGGTCCCCCTCCAGTTGTTGTTGGACTACAACTCTCATCATCCTTGACCAGCCATGCCAGCTGGGGCCAACATATCAAGGGAACAATATTTACCACCCCTGCAATAACGGCACACTTTTTTATCAGTCAAATTCTTACAGTATGTGTCAAACTCACCTGAGAAATTTCAGATTTTTTAGGCTTTAATACTTCAGCAATCTCTTTGCTTATCCGATAAAAGGACTGAGGTGGACTGAAGTTCTCAGACTCTTGAGAATTTGTAACAGATGTCTAGAGACATAACCAGATAGTTACTAGTTACTTAAAATGGAAATAAATGCTTGCAAGAAAGTGTGCCCAGATTACGCATGGTATTTTGGAATATGCTGGGACTCAGTTATTACAGAAAGTATATCCTCTTACTACATGCCTAGATATCAATATTGAAGTTAGGTAAACTCTGAAATGAATCCAAGGCTGCAACCCTTACATCATTCCACCATAATGACCAACTGGCAAAAATACATTTGCTTCTCAGTCAATACTGCATGCATCAAATAACTGTTGTATTTCACTTAATTTCCTTCCCCACCAAATATCACCTAAGAGGAATGAAGTTAGTGCAAATTCACTAGAAGTGAATTCCCTGTTGTTTCAAAAATAAGCAAGCTGTTAAGTATTCATATCATGTGCAAAAAATGATAATAGTCACTTCCTTATTCAATAGCTATCAGTAGCTTTAGCACTGTAAATTGACATATTCTGGTTTTCAGTTTCCCTTGTATAACACAAGTAGAGCTGTATCTTAATTGGCAAAGTACCTGTTGCAAGATCAAGCTACATCTTCAGCTACTACAATCATTTAACTTCCAAGCAATAGTGGCACCTCGGGTTAAGTACTTAATTCGTTCCAGAGGTCCATTCTTAACCTGAAACTGTTCTTAACCTGAAGCACCACTTTAGCTAATGGGGCCTCCTGCTGCCGCCGGCGCACGATTTCTGTTCTCATCCTGAAGCAAAGTTCTTAACCCGAGGTACTATTTCTGGGTTAGCGGAGTCTGTAACCTGAAGCGTATGTAACCCGAGGTACCACTGTATATCTAACTATATTATAATTAAGCAAATATATTTATTTGGGAAGAATGCTTCAAAGAGTCCCAGGGCCAACCCACCTATTTTTTGATAGATAGACAGGGTGGTCAGCTCAGTTTCATTGAATAATTTGCCTTACTGAAAACTGTTCAAGTTTATATTATCAGAATTTCAATTTACTGAAGTGTTATCTTGTAAATGTAAAAACTCTGTTATAGGGATACATATGGGTAAATTCCAAGCCTGGTTCACACATCACATAAAACCGCTGTTAACTTTAAACTATGCCTTAATGTGAACAAATGGCATGTTGGTTCATACTACACAAGACCCTGCTTTGCTCCTCCTTAACAGTACAACAGCGGGGGGGGGGAGTTGGCTTCGTTTGATATGCCTTCTCCCAGTAGGGGCTTTTCTCAAAGGCACACCAGCCTTTGCTGCACACCAACCTGTCACATTCAGTATCACCTGGCATAAGCTGCTCCCAATGTGTGCCTGCCCCATTTCTCAGAAATACCAAACGAATGAAGGTCAGAAATAGGCACCCCCTCATTAGAGGGCAACATGTTAATCAGGATCAAGGGCAAACTCTAAAGAACAATCAGTAACCTGTGGTGTCGCAAGTTCAGTTTCTGATCCAGACAGTGTATTGTCAGAAGTTAAGGAGGTGATTGAGCCGTGCAAGGCTATGGGAGAAGCAGCAACCTGTCAATAGAGCGATATACAATGTAATATATAATGTAATGTACAGTAGACTTCATAGTTTGAAAAAATTCTTGAAAATATTACTTAGGACTTCCAGTTTTTGCTGCCATGGTGAACAGCGGTTCCCACAATAGCAGACCCTGGGCATGCAGCCAATTAAGGATAATTTGAGAGTAATTATACTTGCAACCCCCCCCACTGGGTTGGAGGGGGGAGAGCTCTCACTTGCAGATCGTCCAGTACCTGCCTCCCACTCCTGCGGAATGCATCCAAGTTGCATGGCATACACATCAAAAGCCCCACTACTCTCTTGGAACAAGTTGCATGGTTCTTTAGGTCCTAGCCACTGTGCCTCCTAAAAACTGTTTAAGCCAAAATGGCAAGCCACATTTATACCCCCATCTTTTTAGAAAGTTACTCAAGGCCAGGCATCCCCAACCTGCAGCCCTCCAGATGTTTTGGCCTACAACTCCCATCATCCCTAGCTAACAGGACCAGTGGCCAGGGATGATGGGAATTGTAGTCCAAAACATCTGGAGGGCCTCCAGATGGGGATGCCTGCTCAAGGCAGTTTATGCAGTCAAGATACAAAAATACATTCCAAATAATCAATGCGTGTTTGACATGCATTGCGACAAATGGCTTATCACTCTTACCTGAACCGGTTCCTCAGGGAAATCATTTTGGCTTGAAAGTTGTTCATTAGGTGCTACAAAATATGGGAACATTTGGTTATGCCCTTTCTACACATGAAGCTGCTCTTCAAATATCAGAGTTGAACTACCACCATAACATTGTATGCCTCATGCTAGATAATCTATTAAGACAATGCTAACATATACGGTTTTATTTAAATATATATGTATGTTTACTGATACTTGAAAATGGAGTTGTAAAAAGTCAGCAAGATGTACAAATCAAAATAAAATAAAAACCATAATAACTGTGACTGAGTGGAGTACAGAGGTTGTTTAATTATGTTCATCTTTATATTAAGTAATAAATATGGAGCGACTGTCCAGAGTTGACATCTGAATGAAATCAAATCACAAGCCATCAACAACAACAAAACATCGGCTGAGAAAGGGGACAGTCCAAGACATGTCTAGGCCAACCAAAGAGTCTGCTGGGAGGAAGGGAGGTAAATACTCCCTCTATAGTGATGTATGAGTCATTGGAGTTTTGTACAATACAATATTGTTGGTTATTAAAGTTGTAAATAGAAACTATACTATTTCAAAATATCTGCAGTGGTAAAGTCAGGTGCTCAGACAATACAATTTCCCATACACTCTCTAACCATCCAGTATGTGTAGGACCAACAGAAAATCTCACTTGAGGTTTTACATTTAAGAGAATTAGTTCTCATTTAGTGACTATTTGTGTCAAGATCATGGCCCAAGTTTCAAAGTTTTAAAAAGTGAAATTCAAAGATAAAACTTTTGAAGAAATTTCTAACAGGAAGAATTAAGTTCTGCTCCAGTATCAATCAAAATTTTGGATGCAATGTAATTTAAGAAAATGTGTTTCACAATTTACTGCTTAATAGAAATAGAGGCTTTAAGAAAATAATGAATTAAATTAAAGTTTATCTCTTTTTTAACAGTATATCTCTGCACAATCTGTATAGTGTGTCTATTTATTTCTGGTGGTGGTTGAAGTGACCATAATGGTTGTAACAACAACAAAAATTGAATTTAAATTAAAGTTTGCATACAATACTTGTAAGATATACCATGAAGTATTAATCTCACCTATCGAACATCTTTGTCACATAGATTTAATAATTTGTTGCTATGCCAGTCTTTTCTGCTTTATGAAAGTGATAAAGAGATTCCTAGAACATGAAACAAAATAGGATCTTCCTTGTTCACCATTAACCACAATTATGATTACCTGTGGAATCAACTGAAGGTGCTTGTGATGAACAAATGGCACGTTGTGAAGGTTTATCAAAATCCAGTAAAGACTCCTTAAAAACAAAAAAGTTACAAGTCTTGCACTCTTGAAAAAAACAAGAATCTATTCAGAGATGAATAAAAGTTTACATGTTTTGTGGTGCATTTTAACCTCTGAAAATTGCCTTCAGCAATTAAAAACATGTGCCATTAAAATATCTGAGACCTTAACACCAACTGATGCCCTCCTTTTCATTTTTTCCTTGCGCTCACCATCCGTTAGGTACCTATCATACTCCCCCAAACTCCATGTTATCCAGGACAACTTACTTGCATGAAATTATAGGTCCCTTGTATTTGAGTCATCAGGTCTTGTAGTCTTTCCCTTCTTAATATTGGATCCTTTGGAAGACTAGTAGAGCAAAACTCTGCAACTGGTTGATGAACAGGTTTAGGTGCCTAATAAAATAATAATAATAATAATCGCTGAGGGAAATGTTAGTTGAACTATTCAGAGTAGGCAAGATTCCCAGAGTGCTTTTTCCAGTATGCTACTGTATGGGTTAAAGCATGGATAGGCAAACTAAGGTCCAGGGGCCGGATCCGGCCCAATCGCCTTCTAAATCCAGCCCATGGACGGTCCAGGAATCTGCGTGTTTTTACATAAGTAGAATGTGTCCTTTTATTTAAAATGCATCTCTGGGTTATTTGTGGGGCATAGGAATTCGTTCTTTTTTTCCCCCCCTTCAAAATATAGTCCAGCCCCCCACAAGGTCTTAGGGACAGTGGACCGGCCCCCTGCTGAAAAAGTTTGCTGACCCCTGGACTAAAGGCTTTGTTGGTGCTGAAGTCAACTTGCAAAACACGAGTAGCCAACATGGTACCTTCTAGTTGTTGTAATCCAACTCCCATCAGCCAACAGGGCCAGAGGTCAAGAGCAATGCAAGTTGTAGTCTACAACATCTGGAGAGCACCATGGTGGTTACCCCTCCAATCAATAATATTCTCCCAATGTACATCTTACATTTTACTTTAGGCTTAAATTCTAAACACTGTTACAATGGAGAAAGACCGCAGTGAACAAAGTAGGAGCTACTTCTAAATAAACACATGGGACTATGCTGCAGGTACACAATTTCAAGTCAAATAAAAGGGAGGATCCTAGAGCCAAGTCCTGAAAATGGCATTTTCAGAATACGAGCTCCTTTTCAAGTTACTATTTTAACAGGAGGTCCATTCATACCTTTCCTGAAGTAGACCTCTTCCTGATATTAAAATTAAAAATTTCCGGATTTTTAAACACTGATCTACTACTAAGGCTATGAATTGATTCCTGAGACACTCAGAACTTAGGAAGCTGCCTTACAGAGGGCAGACCACTGTTCGGTCTATCTCAGTAATGTCTGCACTGACTGGCAGCAGCTCACCAGGAATTCAGACAAGGGTCTTTTCCCAGTCCAACCCGGAGGTGCCAGGAATTGAACCTGTGGCCTCCTGCATGCAAAGCAGATGCTCTACCACGGAGCCATGGCCCTATGTAACAACTTAAACAGTTTTTCTTTGGTTTCAAATTCTCCTTTCCCTGGGAAGATTCAAAGTGGATACTTCACACAGGAAGTATTCCAGCTGTTCTCAAGATTCTAAGTTTAAGCATTTTGAAGCATTTCCTATGATCAGTATGACCAAGAAAGCAAACCTGAAGGCTGTTTTCAAAGCTCCTAGGTAGTTTACAAGGTTCTCCAACAGACGTAGCATCAATGCCTCCTTCATTCACTCCATCTGTCTTTTCATCCTATGTAAAATAAGAATTCCATGTATTAGATTATTATAATATGACTTAGCAATGTACAACTTTTACATAAATACACCACAGACTCCATGTTCTACACAAAGTATCAGATTAGCTAACTTTTGAAAGCCCCATTACCTAATGGCATTTTACTGTAACCACTTGTTTCATGTCAGAATCAAACTTCAGTCTGAGCTCTTATTTCTATATTGAAAAGCATTTAGAAATATGTTTTGACAAATTAATTGTTTAAGTAGAGATCAGTCCTACAGAAGGATCTCAGCTGATTGATAAGGTTGGTGAGCCCTACCTGCCACTCACTTTCCTCTACAGCACAAGCAGAAAGCACTTTGACTGTTGGACCCACTATTAGTCTTGTTTGTTCAATCTGCAGAGACTGTCTTTGCATGCAGGGAAGTCCCTAACTCACCAAGGGGTTGAGACCCATTGGCTACCCTTACCTTCTCCTTTAATCCTACCAACCCTGTCATGTAGGTTAAAAAAAGCCTTCCAGATTCATTATCCTTCCCTCATTTTTTAATTATAGAAATCCAAAACTTGGAGGTCTATGTCTATATTCCTCCCTGCTCTATTCCTCTATTATTTATTACTCCCCATTTTTTAACATCTAGAATCTTCAAGGTTTGTGATCAGCAATGCTAAGTTCTCTCCCCCCTGCCATTCCAAATATGAACTTGGCAAAAATTCACTGAACAGCAAACTATTTACACCCCTTTAGGTTTAGTTTATTTCCATGTCCAAATATTTGCTGAGAACCCTGTTTCATGTAGAGTTAGACTACTGTGGCAAAAAATAAGCTGTTCATTGACAAAGCCCAAACTTTGAACTTTTAGATACATCACCACCCCAAACTGCAGTTTTAGTATAAAAATGCTGTACAGGCAATACTATTGTTTATACCAACTCACTTCACTGGGTCCCAAATCAGGCTTCTTTGGCCCAGATTGTTCCTTTGAGGTAAGATTTCCAGCTCCCCATATCTTTGGAGGGTTCTGTAATGGCTTCTGAAGTGCTTGCCGTGGTCCCTCAGATGTTTCCCAAGCCTTTGGGGGTTGGGATTTTTGTTCCCTCTCTTCCTTGATGTGTGCTACCCATTGCTTTGCAGGTTCGTGTTTCTTTTGCTCCTCCTCCTCCTCTCCAACACATGCACTCCAAAGCTTCACAGGTTCCGGTTTTTCCACCCTTATTTGAGCAACCCATGTTTTTGGACATTGTGGCTTTTGTTCCTGCTCTTCCTTCGCTTTGCTCATCCAGTGTTTAGGGGAGGCCTGCTGTTCTCTAACCTGAGTTACCCATGGCTTCAGAACTTCCTCCTTGTGATCATCATCACCTTCCTTAAGATGAGCTTCCCAAGGCTTTGAAAGTTCCAGTTTCTTTCCCTGCTGCCTTACAGATTCCAGAGTTTTAACATAATCTTGTTTCTGCTTCTGCTCCTGCTCTTCCATGTCAACAAGCATTTCCCAAGACTTTGGAGGTTCATTTGTCTTAACATGTTCCACTTCCCAAGGTTTGGATTCCTCAGGCCTCTTGATAGGGGAGTCAGCTTCAGGCAAATAGTGCCTATTAAGAAACTATACAAACCAAAGAAACTTAGTATTTTACCAGTACTCATCTTATTGCTAGCACAATTAAAATGAAATCATGCCAGAAAGTTGTTGTACAAGAGTCACCCAACAGGATTGAATTGTACATTTCCAAAAATGTTTGTAAATCTGTGTGACAGTGAACCTCCCTAAGATCTTATGATGAAGGCCAGTATATAAATTTAATAAATAAATGTTGAGATCTTCAGACATAAAGACAAAACACTTGCTTTCAGATTTACAAAATGCCATCCTGAATACTCATTATATGGTTTCCTTATTGAGAACATCTGCTGTAGCTTCCTGGCTAGTTTATATTCAGGATTCTTGAAAGAGAGAAATATGCCTTGTTTAAGACCACAGCAAGGTAGATGGCTTGGTTCAAAAACCACAGTGATAGCACAGAAAATCCACATTGTGCTAGAGACTATGCCCATAAACCTTCAAAGTTAAACAGGCAGCTGGTTGTTAATTCTACCTCACTGCACCCTGTCTCAAAGTCAAAGGATTTATGGACTCCCATTTGGCAATTGCCTTTGCTGGAGCCTTGTTACAAATTTCTTCAAGTGGAGCTTTCTGAAGAGATTCCTGTATTATCTCCAGTTTTTAGTTCTAGCATCACTGCACTGATATAGCAAGCTATTCTGCAGTTTAACACTAACTTCTTCTACTGTAGCATGTCATTTAATAACTTACCTCTTGAGGCTGTATCTCAGACTGAATGTGCTCCATTTGAGGTGCTAGGAAGAAGGATTGCATAACTTAGATTCAAGTTCTCACAAAGCCAAATGATAGAAAACAGTTTACTTCTCTAAGCATCCATAGCACAGTCACTTATGCAGGGGATGGGGGGGGGACACCAAACAAAATGACTTACATTTCAGGCTAGTCTAGCAACCACCTCTTTGAGAATTTGCTAATGTCTAGTATTATAGTAAGAAGTCACACAACTTCTTCTGTATTTCTTACTAAATACATTTAGTAGGAAAGTTTAAAATTAATCCCAAACAGCTAGGACTGTTTTATTATTGTGGTACAATTGATTTTAACCACCAATAAAGCCTAAATAAGGTGAAGAGCAGAATATACATAACTTGTTTAGCTAAAAATTTAAGCTATATAAATTGATGTGAAAATTTAAGACATACATCTGAAGTACTGTATCAGCAGTTAAGAATTTAAGATTTCTACAAATATATTACCTGATTCACTGACATGCTCTGAATTTGAGGGTTGTCTTGTTCTTTCAGGTCTTTGCATTTCTTCACACAACTCAGGTCTTGTAGACAGTTCTTTTGATTCCTCTTTTACTGGTATATTGGAAGGAGCAGGAGTTTTTTCAAAATAGCCAGAATTTAACAGTTTAGATAACAAATCCTTCAGGTATTTATCTAGAGGACAGAGAGTTGAATGTTAAGCAGATTAAAAGATCACAACATGAGTTTTCAGTTTGGGGATATGACACCATCTCATCTTAAATAAAGATCAAACGTTTTTTCTTGGCACAATATATTCTTGGAAATTTTTTAAAGTAAATGCTTAAGAGGATCTTTGAAATGGCAATGTAATTCAAGCATTTCAGTTAACCAAAAGACCAAAAAAAATCACAGTTGTGAACACAGAAAACATCCACAGAACACCCTTGATTTCAAGAACTAATTTGCTTATTGGTAAAAGACTGTCATATCCTCAAAGATTAAAAAAATAATAATGCAGCCTTGGGAAGTTATCCTGAGATATACTCTGAAGAATATATGCCTTAAACACAGGGAAGCTGAACTGGTTAAAAAACCAATTTCCCTATCCAGCAAATCTCCTGTAGTCACACCCATAAATGTGCTGGTCTACCTTAATTATATACCAAGATAAAACATGGTTCCTGCAGCTGTGGGAACTCACCTGTTATTAAACACTTAACACATAAATGCAATCCCATGTACAGTACATCTACATAATATTGTGGCTTGCTTATTAAGCAAAATGACTTGCCACCCATGATAACAGACTGAGCACAATGCCTCTAGCAGTACTTCCTCTTTGCATTCCTTGCACACACTCAAGGTCTGTTCTGGAGAGTTGGGAGTCTTCTGGAGCAGATTGTGGGTGCAGAGAGAGGAAAGGAAGAGGAGGTTCTGTCATGTTTGTTCATGCCATATTGGATATTGCCATAAATGTGCAATGGGGAACTACAGGCCTTGCTAGGGATCTCTAAACAGTTATAAACAATCTGCATTTATGTTGCCCTAACCAGGCAACAGCAGTTACTGGCCTAGAAAATAATTCTTTCGAGCAATGGAAGGAACAATATAAGTATGTTTCTGAACTGCAATAAATGTTCTAATCCCAATCTTGCTATGAAGTATTTTGCCTGAAGACGGTAGACGTTAGATGCAAAAATATCTAAAGGCTACTCACAAGTTGTCCCAGCTACTGTTTTTTCACTGCCTTCTAGCAGATCCCAGAAGTAGCGTGATGATTGCTCCATTTGGTCTTCAACACTTCATGTCAGAGGGAAAAATAAGTGTCAGTGCTAGATCAAGAAAGTAATGAACTTTTACTTAAGATGGCTGTTTGATATAATAGGGATGGCAGAGTACCTTGTACCCTATAAGCAGCAACTGGCTTTTTTGCTCAGAATTGACTGACGTAATTAAAAACATCCTTTCGCCAGTTATGCCAACTCCATTTCACCAATTTAGTTATAAACCACTTCCTATGAGGCATTTTGAAACAGTTTAATGATAAAAACATCAGTTTTAGTAAGTCTTAGTACCAGTTTAACAGGTACAAGTGCACAGTTTCTTTCAAAAGACCTGAAAGCCAAGTATATTTTGCCTGCAAATGCAAATTGTATTCCCTTCAGGCTATCTAATAAGTTTTAATAATAATAAGACTTGTAAGGCTCCATTCCAAGTTGAGCCTAAAGATCTGCCAAATCACTTGTTAAGTTGAGAAAACAAGTAATTCTAACTGAATTAATTTAGAACTGTTTCATTTTACTGTAGATAACTTCTTCAAAAACTATTTTAGCAAGCACAAAATAGCCACAAACTGGTGATATTCAGAGTCCTCCTCCCCCACAAAAAGAGACAACACACATACACAATTCTCAAAAGGAAAAAAAATGTAGGGGTGTGTGGAGGGGAGAACAGGCAATTCTTCAACTAAGCCAAAACACTCAAGTTTTAGAACAACAATTTGAGCAGCAGGAGGTCTTAGCAGATGCCAATAGGGTCTCTCTTGAGGACAGCAACACTAAGGTTTCTGGGAACAATAAGCACATCAGCCTGGATTTGCCCAGCATGGCTTTGACCACATTATGGCAAAGTTCTGAAAAGGCTCAATTAAAAACCCAAATTTGCAAATTAGAAGTTGATACCACTGGTATCCCCAAGATTAGCCAGTAGTCTATGTTGCACATGCAATATGATTTCATTTAGTGTTGCATATGAAGTCTCCTCATTCAGAGAACTAAGCCACAACATCTCAGTTCAGTCCTCAGAATACATATTATGGTGCTCCATTAGTTGTTCAGACAATTCTGTAAGTTGTCCCCTGAGTAGTATTTGCTTGAAGAGTTTTATGTTTATCCCAGTCTTTTTTGGGGATAAACAAACATGTGAAAGCCACAAAGCCAGCTTTATCAGCCTTGTAACCCTAAGGCAGCTTTCCCCAACCTGGTGCCCTTGCTAGACAACAACTCTCATCATCAATCATGTTGACTGGGGCTGATGAGAACTGTAGACTACCACCACCTGGTAGACTACAACCACTCCAGGTTTAAAAAGGCTGCCCAAAGGAATAATATATATATTACTAAACACAAAGTTCTGTTAAACAAACTATGCCAAGCACTGAGCACCAGGATGGCTGGGCACTTGTTGACATGCTGTGACTTAGAAGGGATCCACTACCAGGAGTTGATTGGCTCCTGCCATTCTTGCCCCATCATATGTAAAGGAACAATGAAGCAACAGCAGCAAAAAGAAGAAAACTGCCTGTCACTGATAGATCCAATTCCCACCACTATCTTAAGTGACAAACAACTGCTCCCTTAACAGTGGGTGCCCCCTCACTTTGCAGACAAAAACCTGCTAACCTCGCTCTCTCTGCAGTAAGAAAATGACTGCAGCAAGGAGGAAACAAAGCACCAGCAGCAAGGAGGCTGGAGGCAGCTCATCCAAAGGGCTATCCTGAAGGGGCCTCCTATGCGGAAAACTCATAATGTTTCAAAACTACACTTCTAATAAAGCTAAATGTCCAAATGCTAGCAAAGATTCGCTTTGCAATTTAAGTAAGGACACATTTACTTACCTCACGCCTTCATTTCTTCCTGAGCAGGTCAATTTTGCAAAATTAATGAGGTAGTCTAGTTCTTTAGAAGACAAAAATATTGCGCCATTCAAGCCACATTTGAAGTCTTTCTGCACGTGCTCTTGAGTGAAACTCTGCAACACATACTGGACCTGCAGTACTGTGCGGAGTTTCTTCTTCTCTGCTTCAAGCTTCATTATACTCTCCCTTCTCTGTGCTTTCCTCTGTGCTTTCAGAAGCTGTATTAATATAAAAACAAAACAGGCATATTACACAAGTTCCTGACAGATCCAACCAGCAGCTGGACTGTAGCTCAGAGAAGCCAATCCAAAGTCTTATCTAAGTCATCTTCCTAAATGAAGGTGCTAAAGATTTTTCCTCAAGTCTCTAACAACACCTTTCAACTTCTACAATCATTCCACTTATCATACAACAAATGTTCAAAGCTTAAGTTTCTGGGTAGTGTTTCATATCAGGGTAGGATGGAATGACAGGGGTGGGGTAGAACAGGAGTACTCCATATCAACATTTTTGGCGCTGATATGCAAGAAGGCACCGGACATACAAGAGTAGAGACCCAACTCCAGATTCTCAGACAAGTGGGGATGGGGGAAGGATAAAGAGAACCTGAACTAAGCCCGCCTCCCCTCACAAAGTGGATCCTAAGCCACACCGACCCATTTCTAGTCAATAATTCAATCTACTTACATCTTGACTAAGCCCAGAAAATGTCTTCTGAAGGTCTTTAGCAAACTCCAAGTTATGGATCACTTCATCATATTTTTCAACAGCTTCCTGTAATCAGCCACACATTATTATTATTATTCATCATGTATAAAGTGCCTAGAATTATGAAGCACAGATGTTTTAGAAGACTGTCCTTTAATGTACACAAAGCTTCCAGTAACATCTCAACTTCTGATAGACATAAGGTGCTAAGACCTGAAGAGCAGTGTGAGCAACAGCCACTATGGCTAAATTATAAGGTGACTTAAACAGAATTTTAATTATGGAGTTTTCTGCCATGTACAGGTTATACAGTTAAAACCAATGATGAATTTTTTAGAAGATACATACAATGAAGGCTGCTATAAATCTGTCATTATTTTATTATTTTACTACTTACAAAAGCAGCTATAATTTAAAGAATGCTACATTATTATTAATTATTATTATTATTATTATTATTATTATCCTTATTATCCCGTCTCACACCATGAGGCCCCAAGGCAGGTCACAACAATGCAAAATACAACATTAAAAATTGTTATGCCTCTCTTCTTATACACTCTTCTATCTCTTCTTATATAAAGGACTAGTTGCTCTTCCAGATGATGTTGCAGCAACTCCCATCAACCCCAGCTAGCATAGCTAATAGTCAGGGATGGGGTTCCCCATCGGTGATCTTGAGCAAACTGAGTAGTGCTATGCTAACAATTATCATGTTTACATGTGAAGGACTCGGCTCACTAAACCAGGAAGAAATCACCATCATAACGCTCGCAAATTTATTGCTTAACAACTATGGCTGGAGTGTTTAAGTAGCTATACTTCCCTTCAGCAGTTATTCATAATTCAGGGTTACACCATGGAAAATGGGTTAACAAAGGCCACATCTCCAACTCAAGATGCTCAGTGCTTACCTTGACCACAGATCCGGCAGTTATTTGACCTCTAACAAGCTGTGGCCCAAACTGCATCTATACAATTTGGTAAATGGCAATTAGACAGCACTTCCCCTGCCAAAGCAGTATTACAAATATCACATGCCATAAGCAGCACATATCTCCATCAAAATGATGGAACCAGTCTGAACACTTGGTGTACCAATAGCCCCTTCGTAGCATCAATTTCCCAACCATTCATCCACTATGGTGTCATGAAGATCATGACATTTAACAACATATGCTCTACTAGTCTACTAGTTGTCAACCAATAAATTGTATCTTGCTGTATCAGAATAATCTGGCAATGGCAGTGGGGAGGGAGGGGGCGGCAAAGAGAACTATTGAAGAGATTTTGTGTGTAAAGCCCAAGCCATCCTCCGTAAAAGTTATTGTTTCTCTGCGCAGTATTGTAATATTTTTGTTAATGCTCACACACAATACTCAAACACGTAAAATTCAAAGTTCATGGCTTTCCTGCTACCTCAGTTCATAACCAATCCTGTATGGGAATGGGAAAATGCAGCATCACAGTTACTATTACTGGAACTTAAAATACGTTTTCTATCCAACCACTGTAAAAAGAGCCAAGAGCCTGAGTCAAAAGGAGCCAACAGCATGAGTCAGGATGAAGGTAGATCTACTATTCTCAGCAAAAAAGTTAATTATGTTTGATCATTCTGGAGCAGCTTACAGACCTTAGCTGAGAACAATTTTAAGATTTTAGTAGTTTGCTTTCCTATCTATTTTCTACATACTTTCCCAGCCATGTTTGGCCCAGAGGACTGCTTAAAGGTAGGTCCTGTAGCTCTATTGCCATAGCTTCAATAGGGCCTAGACACGACACAAGACCTCAGCTTGACTGGCACCACTGAAATCAATGTGCAATAACTCTTTGTTAAGATTTAGGCCAATGTATTTTGCCTAGGCATGAAGGAGCATCTCAGAAGTCTGTCATGAGCTGCTGAATTCATTGCTGCAAATGTTTGCAGCAATCTGAGATACAAGAACAGAAAGCTTACCAACTGATCCTGATTGAGGGGTTCCCCCTTTTTCAGACGATCTCTGTAGTCTTCTAGTTTGAGCTGAAAACATGTATTGAGCAGGTACAGGATTAGACCATGTATAACCAACTTATTCAAGTCTGGCCTATGATTAAAGTCTGAATAACATGGATGCCTACACATGCTACCATGCATTTATAGCATTAAATACAATAAAATGCACATCAAAACAACAATAAAGTAGACCTCTTTGGCAGACGTTTAACATTAGATTTTGGCAGTTAGTTTAAGCAAGAGGTACACTATATATTCATATGAATGGCGAAGGTTGCTGCAGCTCAGGGTCAAGTTCTATAAAGGTGATGGCAATACAGAGTTTCAATGCACAAGAATTTTATAATATTGGAACCACTGTCAAGATAGTACCACTGGCAAGTTACAGTTGCATAAGGTGAATGTTAGGTTCATAACAGCCTTTCTATGACATTCAAGCTCTGATAACTACTGCAGCTGGATGGCAAAGCCACCTTCCTGCTGGATTAGGGAAGGTAAAGGTACCCCTGCCCGTACGGGCCAGTCGTGACCGACTCTAGGGTTGTGCGCTCATCTCACTCAAGAGACCGGGAGCCGGCGCCGTCCGAAGACACTTCCGGGTCACGTGGCCAGCGTGACAAAGCTGCACTGGTGAGCCAGACCAGTGCCGCACACGGAAACGCCGTTTACCTTCCCGCTATAAAGTGGTCCCTATTTATCTACTTGCACTTAGGGGTGCTTTCAAACTGCTAGGTGGGCAGGAGCTGGGACCGAACGACGGGAGCTCACCCCGCCGCGGGGATTCAAACCGCCGACCATACGATCAGCAAGTCCTAGGCACTGAGGTTTTACCCACAGCGCCACCCGCGTCCCACCTGCTGGATTAAGACTGGCTAATTAAGCATGAAACTACTACTAGTCATGTAGGTTTCTTTATATACTTCCATTAGCACCTTAGAAACCAGGTAAGTTTGTTATTGGTATGAGCTTTCGTGTGCATGCACAATTCCTCAGAGTGTGCATGCACACGAAAGCTCATATCAATAACAAACTTAGTTGGTCGCCCCGGTGCTAGTGAAAGGAATTTTTTTTATTTTGTTTCGACTACGGCAGACAAACACGGCTACCTACCTGTAACTATCTTTATATACTGACAGCAGTGAAAGACTGCATCAAAATTCAGTAGACAGTTTAATTTTGGCATGCACTCTACACTACACACAAAGCAGCATCCAACCTTTAGGACTTAGTGGGCCAGTTTGGAAGCCAGAATACCACACTGGCAAAACTGTAATTGAAAAGTGGAAGTAAAAGATGTGGGATTTTGCCATTGTAGCCACACAGGGAACACATGAACCTAAAACTTGTTCTCATCACAGTAACAATAGTTTCTCATGCCACCTGAACCAACTCAATACTGACGGCTCATGCAAATTACATGCCACAGCAGAAAGTTCTTATTTCTCTCTAGTCATAAACTCTAGCCATTATATTTTATTAATCTAATTTTTAAGGCTGGCAAGTTATCTTAAGTGAAATCAATTTAGTTACGCGGCATTTCACACTTTCATAAGCAAATATGGGCCTTTCACCTCAAAGAGCTTACAATCCAATAGACAATGGCAAGAAAGAGTGAATGAACAAACACAGCAGATTCCTTTGGGACCATTTCTCTAATCTAGGAGAGATACATACCTTCTTTTTCTCAATGTTCCTGATCTTGTGTTTCATGCAGATAAGTCCATTATCAATGTAAGTCTCATATGCCTGGGAAGCCGTTGCAGCAGAACTCAAAGCTGCCTGCAGGGGGCTCAAGGGAGGCTGATTGTCCCCATGAGGGCCCTGAGTCACCTGCTGCTTGGCGGGTTTCATGCTCTTCTCCTCTGCTTCCTCAGAGGGGCATGAAGGCGAAGTGTGGCAAAGTGGGGACTGTGAAAGCTGCACCATTGAAACAGCTAGGGCTGCAAAGAAACTGGTACTGTTTAGTTTTTCCCTCACAGCTGCAACTTCAGCATCCAGTTACTATTAAGTTTCTCATCTACACAGTGAGCATCGAATGTGCCTTTTGTGGAACATGTACCATTACGGAGCAGGAGAGGCATCCAGAAACCACTATTTCTCTGTTCAGATAACCTTACAATTGAGAGCACTTTAACATCCTCATCGACAATCTATTCTAGATGGGGGTGGGGACTGTTTTAAACAGCTGCAGACCTACCAGCATTTGGATCAATAAGATTCCTGAAGAAGGGGAGTCTCTCCCTTCTTTCCCTTATTCCCTATTCCAGTAAGATGCCAGCTAATGCTAATCACCATCCTAAACTCTTTGCATGCATGTACCAACTAGAATATCAAATCTATATGCCACTTTCCTAAACAGGCAAACCAACAAACCTACTGGAGGCTTTAGCCCTCCCCACCTGCACTAGAAACAGGGTCACAAATAAGGCATCAGCAATTCCTCACGCTGGAGACCGAAGCTAGCAGAGGAATGCCTAAATGTCTTTTCAGGAAGAACACAAGACTTTCATTATGTATTTCTAATTGGTTAATTCACCTATGTACAGGCAGAAAAAAATTACTTCCAGAGGGGAAGCCCTGTGGGTCAGTTGCAGTGTGTGTGTGTGTGTGTGTGTGTGTGGAGTTCACACCTGCATCAAACACAATTTGAGAAAGATGCTAGGTTACCCATTACGAACAAATTGGCAGTTGGGAAGCAGGTGAGCAAGACATTTCCTCATTCCTTACTGAAAATGCAAGGGCAGTCGAGCGCTTCAGGTTAAAAAAACCCCCAGCCATGTCGAGGCACTCTGCTTAAGTCGTCCTTCGTCAGAAGATTCGAGGGCATCACACAGAGCAGCGAATGAAACAATTTGGCGGCACGTCGCCGTTCTGTTCGAAGCCCGTCTCGCTACTTTCCGTGAGGGGCGCGTGATGTTGCAGCCCCACAGCTCAGCCCGCCCCCGCCCGCACGCTCACTAGGGCAGTTAATATCACATTCACACGTGCGCTTATTCCCAGGCGAGCAAGTGCGCGCAGGACCGAGGCCTCAAAGCTCCCTCCCGCGAAAGGGCGTCCAGAGAACAAGGCAGGGCGGCGCCACAACCTGCACCACTGGAGGGGTTTTGTGCGGCGTTTTGTTCCACGAGAGGAAAAACACCGGGAAATTCTGTCCGCTGTCGGGAAGGGAGGGTGGGAAAAGAGGAGGCTGTAATTATGGGCTGCATCCAACTATGGATAAAAGGAGGGTGGGGGTAATAAGTGACGTCGAGTTATCTTCTCCGCTCACGGCGGAGGTTGTCGCTCCTTCCTCTCCCCGCAGCGTTCCCGCCCACAAACGCCACCAGCCCCCGGGATACGCCGTCCCATGTACTGCCTTCCTTTCCCTCACACCGCCGCCGCCTCACACACGCGGAGGAGGCGGCATCTGTTTCCGTGCCGCACGAGCAACCGCTGCCTCCCACCCGCCGGACCCCGCCCTTCGCCAACTCACCTCAGCAGCCTAAACTCGCTCAAGCCCACCCGCCGGCCGGCTGGCCTCCCGGCTTATAAACCCGCCCCGGCAGCGGGGAGATAAGGGGGCGGAGTCTCCGCGGAAAAGTCACACGCCGGCTTCCCAATCGCCAGCCGGCCACAAGCCGCCCAATCAGCCGCCGCGGCAACCGCGTGGCCTACTGCCGCTCGCGCGTTCGGCCCCGCCCCCGCGTGACATGCCGGACCGTTAACTGGTGAGGAGAAAAGAAGGTTGTGAGGTGTCCGGGCGTCCTCAAGGAAGGTGATGTGTTTGTATGTCTCGGTCAAAGGTTCTAGTCCTGACCAGGATGATCTACACGTTCAGATACACATACAGTCCCTCCCATACGGTGTTTTAAAGCATCAAGCAACACTCCAGACCACTTTAAGATGCACTAAGATAACTGAAAACATATGCTTATTACGGTTTCTTTAAAAAAAAACACCAAACCAGATTAAAGTGATTTGGTGTTCGGGTTGGTTGGTCCTCCCCCAGTCGATCAGACATATTTGCAATGCGTGCACTATATAGCACACGCATTCATGTATACACAAACACTCAGTAGCGTAGTGTGGGTTGTCAGCACCCGGGGCAAGGCAAGTAATTTGCGCCCCCTAACCCGTGGATTTGCGCCCCCTAACCCGTGGATTTGCGCCCCCTAACCTGTGGATTTGTCCTAACCCCAGATGTTGCGCCCGGTGCGGCCGGCCCCCCCTGCACCCCCCACGCTACGCCACTGCAAACACTATAGATAAATATGCACAGAGAGAGAGACAGAGACATAAATACACAGATAAAGATGAAAGCAGCAGGCAAAACTGGTGCTTTAACTAAGGAATGCCACAAAGTAGTGAGCAAGCTTTGAAGTTTCACATTGGGACTCCTCTGTGTAGCCTAAATGCTAAACAGAGATACACACCTGCTGGGGAGGTGCTGCCTAAGGGAGGAAAAAAATACTCCAGTCTGCAATTTGGAAGATGGAGCGGAGGTGTTATGCAAACTCAGGATGTTTGTCTACTCAGAAGGAAGTTCCGCTGAGATGCTCTTAGGTAGGTAGATGCTGGGCTGCAGGTAAGATAGCATTTTAAAAACAAAGCATAACACAAACAACAGTAGTAGCAGCACAAAACAACAGATGTTGAGGTTGGGTGGCCAGTTGTCATGTATGTTTTAGTTGAGATTTCTGCCTTCCAGCTCTACAGTTCTATTATTCTATGTAGCACATTTCTGGGACAAAGTCCCAGTTGGGTTACAGAACTTGCTTCTGAGTAGACATGCACAATAAATTGAATTAGAACATGCTGCACTTCTTTTTAAAAACAGTTGACAGTTTTAAAGGTTGAGGCTTTCCCAACACATTCAGTAGGAACTTCCCCCTCCTGTCCCCCCCCCATTTTATTTCATTTATGTTTTTGTAGGTAAGATATAATGCTGCTAATGCTTTTCGTAGTATTAGCCTTGGCAATGCACATAGTTTATTGACAGCTCCCATAATTCTTTGGGAGAAGCCATGAATGGTTAAAGTGGTATCATAATGCTTTAAATGTATTGTGTGAATGTGCCCTAAATCTTTTTACGAACAGCAAACATTTTATTGCTTTGGATAAGAGCGGCAAGCTTGAATGACATTGATCAGATTAAAATGATTGTACATTTATTTTCTGTATCATACATTAATAAAGTTATAACTGTTGTTTTCAAAGCTTTATATTATAGAGAACCCTCTGCTGACATGCAAGCATACCATCCTTAATAAGCGGTAGACAAATTGCTAATTTGTATGGACGGTCACTATTAATACTGGCAGCTTTTAGGAACAGTTTGACCTCTGAATAGTTATCACCATTATGTTGAATATTCAGGTCTAAAGTAATGTAAGAAGTCAGTGTTATTTAAATATGAAGAGCCACACATTAACAAACAGGTAACCCTGTTCCAACAAATGGACTACCCTTGGAAAACAGTGATGGATCCATTGTTGCAACTGCAGAAGCACACAGTGGTGCCATTAGGGCAGGGCTTTGTGGGCAGAAGTCCAGGGTCCCATTCAGCTGTAAGAGCAGAACAGCACTTCAGTGCAACTGGGCTGGCTTACAACATTTTGAAGTAGAATCACAGAATCATAAAGTACCTCAAAAGTCATTTAGTCCAACCCTCTGCTGAGGCAGGTAAAACATTTCTATCTAAAGTAGCCTTTGCCAACCTGGTGCTCTCAAGATGTTGCTAAATTATGTCTCCCATCCGCAAAGCTCACTGGTGACTTTGAGCCAGTCATTCTCTCTCAGCCAACCTACCTCACAGGGTTGTTGTGAGGATAAAATGGAGAGGTGATGAAGTGTGTATGCCACCTTGAGCTCTTTGAAGAAAAAGTGGGATACAAATGTAATAATAATAAAAAGGATGGGGGAAGCCAACTTAATGCCCATGGGTGCTATGACACTCTTGAAACACTTGAGGGGCCTCAAATTCTAAGGTTTCATTAGAAAAAAGTAAACCTATATCTCTCCTAGAAAGTAAGTTATGAAGCAAAATGTACTAGTACTCTCCTGAGTGATTTCTGTGAAATGAGCTAGGCTGACTGCTCTCACCTGTGAGGGTTTTTAGCCAATGAGCAAAGCCAGCTGAGATTGATACATTAGTTGTTAGAACAACAGGCAACAGGAATCCCTGGGCGTGGCTGTAGTCCTTTCCACTTTAGAGCACTTTTCCTCTTTCTGCCTTATGTTATATAGTAATCCTTGGAATCTCTGTGGTTTGGCTTTTCATCTTTCCTTAGCAACCAAAATGCATCTTTCCTGTGGTGGGTTCATTGGATATCAGGTAGTTCCTGGAAGTTTTGTTCTGCAAATACTACTGCTCAATAAACATGAGTGGATGTTAAGGAATTGCCCCCAACTCCCATAAGACAAATGTGAAAACCTTCCAGAGGCTTTGCCATGTTTATTGCTGTGTAGGAGCTAAAAACCAGGCACTCAGTAAGAATTTACTGTATAGTTAACTTACAGTACAATGGTATGCATGTATACTGATGCAGATTAGGTTTTGGATTAGGACAGGCATTGGTGAAAATCAGGGTTCTTGTACCTTTAACAGCTGTATGGCTGGCAGAAATTCAACAGGTTAAGACTTTTTTAAGTATAGGAGCATAGTATGGGAAAAGCTTAACCATGACTGTGCCATGCCCCCCATGGCACTCCCTAAAAAATCAAAATGTGTACACTGGGTCCCAAAAGCCTAGTAACCCCCAATATAGGACCATCAGCTTTGCCTGCTGCCTGAAATGGTCCACTGCCACTTTAGCATTCTATAGCTTCATTCAGCTACATGTGTAAATCATTCGTAAGCAAAACTGCAGGTTTTTACCACCCTCCCAAGCTGAAGCCTTAATAAGGCCATATATTTTTGTTCTCTAGGGTTTAAATAAATTTTAAAAGGTTTATCTATTACACAACCTGAGAAGGGGAATTCTAATGTATTCTACAATGATATATTCCTGGGGTAAATGTTAGGAAACTGTAATGTGACCAATACATATCAGCTTTATGGAATTGCCGATATAGAGTTTGAGGCTTATGGCATCTATTGCTAAACTAAGGCTTTGAACTGAATTTGGTGGCTGAAGATTCTCTGAAAGATTCTTCTTTGAAGTGATGTTCTGCATCACATATCAGTGATCTTATGAACTGTGTCATTCATATTTGTTATAGAGCAGTGGTAGCCAAACTTGGCCCTCCAGATGTTTTGGGACTACAATTCCCATCATCCCTGACCACTGGTTCTGTTAGCTAGGGATGATGGGAGTTGTAGTCTCAAAAACATATGGAGGGCCGAGTTTGGCCACCACTGTTTTAGAGGAATGAAAGGACCTGCATTAAATTTCAGAGATATTGCCTACTTTACATTTCAGGGATCTGCTAAAACTACAAGTAATTTACCGGTAGCTTCCAGAGTATTCCAGATCTCTAATATTTTATTTATGTACACAATAGCTGTGCTATTATTGCTAGCTAGCCTCAGTTATCTCTTAGATCAGGCAAGTCCAATAGGTAGATCGTGACGTCTGTGGTAGATCACCGGTAGATCAGTGGCTCCCCCCAAAGAAGCTAAAAAACTTTGGCTCCCCTAAAAAAAACCTTAGCATCTTTGCCCTGCACCCCTAAAATGACCTGAACCACCAAAAACAGCTCAACAACTTTGACCTGAATGCCCCCAAAAGGGGTAGATCATCGCAGTCTCTCGGAAGTTGGCCACCCCTGCCTTAGAATTGGGAAAGCTCTTTACTGGATTCCTTTCAATTTCAGCACAAAGTCAAACATCACCTTTGAGCATTTCATTGCAAAGAATAAACTCAGAAATTAAATTTAGTTCAGCCCTTCCTGGGCTTACGTTTAACATTCATTGGTTTTATCAAAGAATTGTATTTCCAGTTTTAAGTTCTACAGTCCCAGTACAAATAGAAATAAATACTACATGTTGCTTTATGAATGAAATATCAGAGGGCAGAGTTGGCAGCAGGAATGAGGGTATGACGTGGATGTGCCAACATAGTAAGAAAGTTGTCCTACATGCACAATGTTTGTAGGTGCTTTTGTGACCATTTCCTATTTTGCTCTATAATGGAGGCCTGCCAAAATGGAATGCTGCTGTGTTCGCAAAACTGTCCAGCAGCCACTTACTTGGAACAAAAGTGACAGAGGCCCGTATTGTCAGGAGCACAAAGAACAGCTCTTACATCATTGCAGAGCTTTCCAAGAGGAATTAGAAAATGCAACCATGAGTGTCCCCTTGCTAATCTTTGCCTTACAAAAGTTCCTGCTGCCAATCATGTCCATGCCAGCATCTCCAACTGGGCGCATGAGGCCAAGCCCTTGGTTCTCAATTGGCATCTCATTACATGGGAAGATCTTTTAGATGCCATTTCTGTTTGCACCAATAAGAGAATTAGCTCAGTACAGTGGTATCAAAAATCATACCACTTAATATTGCTCTAGTAGGGTGGCCACCCATCAATGGATAGATCCTCTAAGAGATGGTTGGAGCACTTCAGCAGCCCTGGTTCAACTCAGACACTCTTATAAAAGAAGAGAGAAAGGGAGTTATTACCCCTCCGCTCCCCTGCCCCACACTACTGCTGC